TTCTTAGGATAACCCTTTACACAAACAGCTATCATATCTAACAATACACATCAATTACCTTGTCTAGTATGAAAATGAATTAGGTACTGGTGGTAGGACCTCTTGTGAGTCCGTACGGGTAGGTACCACCACCTTGCCAATGTCTACCGTGAAGTACAATGTCTACCGTGTTTCGAAGAGTGAAGGGTTTAATTAAAGGGTGGGGTAGGCGTTGTAACTATACACTAAGACCTTAGAACTTATATGTCAAGATGGGCGGAGGCAATTACGTTGTAGATGTCTATAGGTTCCGGTAACCCCTAAAGACCAAGGGGGCTATGAGCTCGTCCACGTACATAAGCAATAAAAAAAAATTGAACATTTTTGTTTTTAATTTCGACTAAAGTGCACTCTAGATCTTTCGTAGACTGAACGTCACGTGACCCGAACACGTGCCCGGCCGCGTTCTCTCCTGCAAACACGTTGTTTTTCCTCGGAGACGTATATCGGTGGTCGCGTGACGCAACACCGCGATCGGTTTTTGTACGACCTGCCCACTCGCTGATGTCATCGTGTACAATCATCATTAGCTCTCTTCTTCTGTAAACGATATTCGATTTGTGCTTTTTTCGTTGTTGACATTGGATTAACTAACTGCGTCTTAAATCTGCCATGTTATCAAACATGTCGGAAAGTTTTTTTTTCCCTAACTATTCTAGTAACCTCGGGGGTATTATTCTAGATGCACCGAAATAATAGGTGAGCTCACGAGGCTCAAACCTGAAGTTGTTGCTAATACGAACCCTAGCAAGAGCCGTGCTTCACGGAATCTACCACCGGATCGGAAACGCGACCAACTGAGAAAATCCGGCGAGAAACTCAGTGGGCTGTGTCTGAGGGTTAATTTACTCACCGAGCTTTTCGTCGCAAGCGACGGGTTCGACGGGAAAGGTGATCGGTGGTTGGGGTACCTAAAAGCACCACACATAGATACTATCGCAGCTTGGCGATTAGATCAGAGGTTGTTCTTATTAATTCAACGGCCGCATTCAAGCAAAGTGCGTTTTAAGACATTGTTGTCTCGGTCTTTAGAACGACCTTCCAGCTTCAGGATTGCCTAAGTGTTGTAAGTTGGGCGAGGTTTGAAAACAACCATCAGCGGTAGACAGCTAGACTGAAGCCCCTAGTATATCTGATGGATAATTTTCTCGTCAAATTTTGCTCGTCAAATTTCCCAGACAATGAAAACGCTAGATGTGTTTGGATTTACCTACGAATATTATCGCTCGTATAATCATGTAATAATATGTTCAAAAATTTTCATATACAACGTGGTGAAAATAAACCTAACGATATGACGGCAAAGAAGGTGAAAATATACCTATTGTTTTCTTTCAAGTCCATCTCCAAAATCGTCAATCAAACGACAGTTGAACCAAAGATATGTGTATCAACACAGACGTACATACAATGTAAGACAAAGATGTACATATAATCGAATTTCGTTTTAAACAATAACGTGTTCAACTATTGCGTTATACCATAAGATAAATATTTCACAAAAAAAAAACTTTTGTATGTACAAATATTGTAAAATAAATTTTAAAACAAAGAAAAAAACACGTAGAATTTTCGAATGCGGAACGATCACGAAATGTGACGAAATAATTAGGACATTCCTTTTAATGGATTCAAGACATGCGCAAGCTAACATAACATTTAGCATTGCTGCGTTAAAACGGCTAATCAATGTAGGTCATTATTATGAAAATATAAATGATTTGTTTCGGAATAAAATAAATTGAAAATGAAAAATTGTAATATTGCCAACATTCTCGCCTGAAATGAATTGTCTTACGTGTCTTAAATAGGTAGGTAGTTAAACTGTGAAAAAAATATATTTCACCTACACGAAAATTCTCCGTATTATGTTCAGAGATACAGTAAGTTAAGTAGCCTCGGGAACGCGGAACCGCAAGCGATACTTGAATGTTGTCAATTAAAAAGCCATCAGTCAACTGTAATTCACTTTACATAAGGTCATTGTATTATTGTTTATTTTTTTGTCTCCTGAAATCATAATTGATTCAAAAAGTATAAGGATAAAAGTTTATCTCTGAATAGCGACCGGTCATCGTTCTCGTCGAACCCGTCGCTTGCGACGAAGGGCTCGACTAGTAAATTAACCCTCATACGATATCATTTATTGCACTTATTGATAGTGAAGATATCAATTCTATCAACGATCACAAGAACAGGTCGTAGTCATCCCTGAGCTCACCTACTTGTTAGGTTACGTTGACATAACCTCTCAAGCTTGGTAGGAAAAAAAATTCAACTTAACAAACAAAGCGGTCTTGTCTTTTTATTGCACGTTCTATAACCCTCAGATACAGCCCACTGAGTTTCTCGCCGGATCTTCTCAGTGGGTCGCGTTTCCGATCCGGTGGTAGATTGTGCGAAGCACGGCTCTTGTATAGGGTTCGTGTTAGCAACGTCATTAGGTTTGAGCCCCGTGAGCTCACCTACTAGTTAAAGCGACACTGATATAGCCTCTTAAGGCTATCAGCTTAGGTAGGAAAAAAATAAATAATAGCCTTTGGTAATAAGTTTTTTGAAGCATCTTGCGGGCCACCTGTCGTACGTCGATAGTAATAAAACCTTCGCTGCCACAAGTGTACAAAGTTTAATCACAATCTGATAAATGATTAAGGAACGCATACTAGACAAACGAAACTTCCAAACGTATATTCATTTCTATTTAGATGTGAAACGCTAATAATATCATGTAACACGTATATCAGTGTTAAAAATAAATATCAAAATACGAAAGTCTCGTAGGCAAAGGTCACCTCACTGTACGTCCTTGCCTTATATGGTTGTAGTTGAGACTTGCCCGGCGTGATGTGGTACGTTCCGTCCTCGTCTTGCATTGCATAAAAAAAAATTCGTAACCAATTTGTTTTTTAAGTTTTCTACTGTGAGTCGTCAGGGTTGTAAAAAATTACGAGTTTCCTTCGAGGCTATTTTCGTAATTATTGGAGGGAAATTATGTAGTGTAGCAATTATGGCAACCCTATAAAATGGTGCATATAAAATTACATGAGATTTATAAAATAATATGGTAATGAGAGGAGGATGACCTTGAATTAAATGAATTTTTTTTTTGTAATTTGATGTTGAAACCCGCCACAAAAAATATAGGAAGTCACGGTCTGTTGATGATCTCTCGAGATTATTGTTTACTTTGATTTCATTACATCGTTGTTAATAGATTCTGTATTTTAAAAGTGAAATATTGACATCTACTACATAAAATGTGTTCTTATACGCCACTATACCTAGTCAGGTCATAAGTACTGTCACACAGTAAAAACTTTTCTTTTAGAATGCTGGCCACAAAAAAGTTTATTGAATTCGAATTTCGAATTGTTCATGAAAATAAAAATGTATAACTTTTAGAATTTTACTCATTTTTAAATATGGAGTGGACGCTTAAAGAAGACCGTGTTGCAGTTATTGCGTTGCATCGTTGCGGTTACGCGCCAATTCAAATTTTTAACATACTGAAAAATTTGAATATAACCAAAAGATTCGTTTATCGTACCATCAAACGATACAATGAAGACTCTAGTGTAGATGACAGGTCAAGAAGTGGTCGCCCTCGGTCTGTTAGGACTCCAGCAGTGATAAAAGCTGTGAAGGCGCGAATTCAAAGAAATCCCAAACGTAAGCAGAAACTGTTGGCCCTTCAGATGGGGTTAAGCAGAACCACGGTGAAAAGGGTGTTAAATGAAGACTTAGGGCTTCGGGCATATCGAAGAAAAACAGGACATCGTTTGAATGCTCGTCTAATGGACCTGAGACTGAAGAGATGCCGCGCTTTGTTGAAGCGGTACGCGGGAAAAAAATATCGGGAAATTCTTTTTTCGGATGAAAAAATTTTTACCGTAGAAGAGAGCTACAACAAACAAAATGATAAGGTGTACGCACACAGTAGTGAAGAAGCGAGCAACCGTATTCCGCGTGTCCAACGAGGTCATTTTCCATCCTCGCTCATGGTATGGTTGGGAGTTTCTTATTGGGGCTTAACAGAGGTACATTTTTGTGAGAAAGGTGTAAAAACGAATGCAGTTGTGTATCAAAATACAGTCCTGACGAACCTTGTGGAACCTGTTTCTCATACCATGTTCAATAACAGGCACTGGGTATTCCAACAAGATTCGGCGCCAGCTCATAGAGCGAAGAGCACACAAGACTGGCAGGCGGCGCGTGAAATCGACTTCATCCGGCACGAAGACTGGCCCTCCTCCAGTCCAGATTTGAATCCGTTAGATTACAAGATATGGCAACACTTGGAGGAAAAGGCGTGCTCAAAGCCTCATCCCAATTTGGAGTCACTCAAGACATCCTTGATTAAGGCAGCCGCCGATATTGAGATGGACCTCGTTCGTGCTGCGATCGACGACTGGCCGCGCAGATTGAAGGCCTGTATTCAAAATCACGGAGGTCATTTTGAATAAACTTTAGTGTCATAAGAATCTATGTTTTGTCAAGTTCATTTTGGTATATGAATGGTTACATAATGAATAAACTTGTTTCAATTATTTTACATTAAACATGTGACAGAATTTATGACCTGACTAGGTATATAGTATTACTAATAGGAAAATAATATAAAAAAAATAGGTATATTTCTAATTCTTAACGTGCGTAAATTATGTGATGTTGAAATGTTTATTTAGATATATAAAATAGCCGTACTCGCCCGCTTCGCTGGGTATTTAAAATTAACATTATTATTTATTGTCATTATTATTAGGGAGTCCAACACTTATATAAATATTAGCCTATCCAATGTGTACATGTATTTCTACACGGATACCAAGTTTCAAGTCAATCGGACGCATGGTTCAGTAGTTTTAACGGAACATCCGTAAAAACCACTGTAGATTTATATATTAGTACAGATTCATAGAAACCGTGCATTTGTAACTTAAAGATACGTCGTTTATTTACAGAGGGGGTTTCCGTTTGAGGAGGAGGAAGGCTCGGGCGCGTGGAGCGAGCTAGCGGCGCGACACCCCGACATCGCGGCGCGGCTGCGGCAACGACCCGCCACCTGGGCCAGGAAGCGCCGACCCTCCAGCAACGACGCTACTGACGGTAAATATCTCCCGTATCCAGTCGTCATCAGCCTTTATCTGCCCATTGCTGGACATAGGCCTTCCCCAATGCCTTCCACGTATGCGGTCCTCCGCCTTCCGCATCCAACGACTTCCCGTCGTGCTCCATCCACCTGGTTGGAGAGGACGCCCCACGCTCCTGGTAACCATCCCCCACCTGGCGTCGCTGGTTCGACAGATGTGACCATACCCGTACCCAGTACGCCAACTTAAATCGAATGAAAGTTTGACTCTTAATTCGTATGCAGGTCTACAAAGTCGTACTGTATGGCTAGAGGATTTTAGATATAGTCTTTTCTCTTCCTTACTAAATAGCATATGCAAATATGCACTAGAAGCCAATTGATGTTTTAGTTATTACCAGAGATCATAATGTGGATGCCGTCACTCAGTTTTTTATTTTATTTTTATTGCTTAGATGGGTGGACGAGCTCACAGCCCACCCGGTGTTAAGTGGTTACTGGAGCCCATAGACATCCACAACGTAAATGCGCCACCCACCTTGAGATACAAGTTCTAAGGTCTACAACGGCTGCCCCACCCTCCAAACCGAAACGCATTACTGCTTCACGGCAGAAATAGGCAGGGTGGTGGTATACCCGCGCGGACTCACAAGAGGTCCTACCACCAGGAATTACGCAAATCATAATTTTGCGGGTTTCATTTTTATTACACGATGTTATTCCTTCACCGTGGATGTCAATCGTGAACATTTGTTGAGTACGTATTTCATTAGAAAAATTGGTACCCGCCTGCGGGATTCGAACACCGGTGCATCGCTTCAACACGAATGCACCGGGCGTCTTATCCGTTAGGCCACGACGACTACCAAAACTTGAGATATGATGTCGAAATTTTATTTCATTCTGACATAATTTAGAATTTTTTTATATCTATACAATCTATACAATCTATACAATGATACTCATGTACTTTATACTAATTTTAACTTTTGTTCATGAGAAAACTTATTTAATTACAGATCTGAATATAAATTATATTATATATTAGATATATAGAAAGGAATAGTAGAGTTCCACGTAAACTGAACTCTGTTTTTCCTTACAGGTTGTGTAAAGAGACGTTTCGTTATTGCAGATTTTGGCGACAACTTCAGCGGCTTCGACAGATTCCCCTTCGATGATATACCTCCCGAGTTCAGAGAGCACTTTCCGTCGCACTGGAACCGCAGGTTCAGCTCTCGCGACGAACAACCACAACAGCAGACGCCCGCTTCGCCAACTCAACCACAGCAACAAACGACCGCCACACAGACTGAACAGACCCCGACGCACAGCGAACACGAGCAGCAAACCCAGATACCACAGTACGGACTCAGAAACACAGTAGACCTAGGGCAGAAGAGTCCCGCCGACCCGAGCTTGGTCGATGCGGACGATAGGACACACCGATCTATGTCAGCGCCCCCAGACACACCTAATCAAACAAAGATGAGTGGACACAATCACCAGGAGCAGACCCATCAGCCTCACGGAGAGACCCAGTCTAATGTCCGACACATACCGATATTCGTAGAAGGCCGCGACAAGCCAGTCATCAACAAGTCAGTGGACCACGGCACACACTTTGGAGAGGCTAAGCCACAGTATGTACCTCCTCCACCTCCGCCGCACGTCGACAGGGATCAGTATTTCGCGGACGATGTTAATTTCCATCCACCGCCTAATTTCTCACGTTCCTTTGGCACGCCTTTTAATAAGACTTATAGACAAGGACCTCAACCTTTTGTACAGCAAAAGGCATACCCACAAACGGCGTTTGCCCGTGGTGCCTCTCCCCAGAGATCGCAGTCTCCCAAACCTACCGACGAGCACTTCGTTAAAGTCCCTGTTCATCACGAAACACCAAAAGCTGAGCCTCCGTCCAGAGCGCAAAAATCACCCCAGCAACATCAACCTCCACCGCCAAAGTCTCCTCAACAACACCAGCCTCCGCCACCGAAGAGCCCACAGCAACAACCTCCACCTCAACGGGAACAAACTCCTCCGCAGCCTAAAACTCAACAACCATTATCCAATGATCCCATAACACAAATTCTCAGTATTCAAACCGACGTTCTTAACCTTATGACTGATGTTGAGAATTTTACTGGCACCAAAAAAGACAAAAGATATTTGTTTCTTGACGAGATGCTCACAAGGAACCTCATCAAGTTAGACAATATAGAAACAGATGNAAGGAATAGTAGAGTTCCGCGTAAACTGAACTCTGTTTTTCCTTACAGGTTGTGTAAAGAGACGTTTCGTTATTGCAGATTTTGGCGACAACTTCAGCGGCTTCGACAGATTCCCCTTCGACGATATACCTCCCGAGTTCAGAGAGCACTTTCCGTCGCACTGGAACCGCAGGTTCAGCTCTCGCGACGAACAACCACAACAGCAGACGCCCGCTTCGCCAACTCAACCACAGCAACAAACGACCGCCACACAGACTGAACAGACCCCGACGCACAGCGAACACGAGCAGCAAACCCAGATACCACAGTACGGACTCAGAAACACAGTAGACCTAGGGCAGAAGAGTCCCGCCGACCCGAGCTTGGTCGATGCGGACGATAGGACACACCGATCTATGTCAGCGCCCCCAGACACACCTAATCAAACAAAGATGAGTGGACACAATCACCAGGAGCAGACCCATCAGCCTCACGGAGAGACCCAGTCTAATGTCCGACACATACCGATATTCGTAGAAGGCCGCGACAAGCCAGTCATCAACAAGTCAGTGGACCACGGCACACACTTTGGAGAGGCTAAGCCACAGTATGTACCTCCTCCACCTCCGCCGCACGTCGACAGGGATCAGTATTTCGCGGACGATGTTAATTTCCATCCACCGCCTAATTTCTCACGTTCCTTTGGCACGCCTTTTAATAAGACTTATAGACAAGGACCTCAACCTTTTGTACAGCAAAAGGCATACCCACAAACGGCGTTTGCCCGTGGTGCCTCTCCCCAGAGATCGCAGTCTCCCAAACCTGCCGACGAGCACTTCGTTAAAGTCCCTGTTCATCACGAAACACCAAAAGCTGAGCCTCCGTCCAGAGCGCAAAAATCACCCCAGCAACATCAACCTCCACCGCCAAAGTCTCCTCAACAACACCAGCCTCCGCCACCGAAGAGCCCACAGCAACAACCTCCACCTCAACGGGAACAAACTCCTCCGCAGCCTAAAACTCAACAACCATTATCCAATGATCCCATAACACAAATTCTCAGTATTCAAACCGACGTTCTTAACCTTATGACTGATGTTGAGAATTTTACTGGCACCAAAAAAGACAAAAGATATTTGTTTCTTGACGAGATGCTCACAAGGAACCTCATCAAGTTAGACAATATAGAAACAGATGGCAAGGAAAACATCCGACAGGCGAGGAAGGAAGCAATCAAATGCATCCAAAAATGTATAGCAGTCTTAGAAGCCAAAGCGGACAGTTCGAACCAACAAAGAAAGGCACAGCCCGAACAGGAAACACAAGTGCAAGATGAATGCCAATCCCATGACGTGGATATGAAAGAGAACACACAGAACGATCAGACCACGGAAATCCCTGCCCAGCCGATCGTTGAGAACGGTGAAGTGGAAATGGACGAGGCCACCAAAGATAAACCAGCCGAACCACAGACGGCTGCAGCAGTTCCGCCACAAACAGACAACACCGAAGAGGCTAATGTAGAAAATCAAGCGGCCGAATCAGCTGTAGCGGTAGAGAAGGATGATAAACAAGAAGTTGTAAAAGTTGAGGCGCAAGAGAAAAGTGAAGAAGTAAAGCCAGAAGATGCAAATGCATCCGGCACAATGAATCCGGCAGAAACACAACCATCTGCGGCCGACACACGACCCGAAGACAACAAATCTACTGGAGGTGACGCAGAGAAGAAAGAAGACAAGAAGTCTACTCCGAAAAAAGTAACCAAAACAGTAAAAAAACGAGACAAAAGTAAAGATAAGAAGGATGCCCCTAAAGATAGCAATAAGGAAGATAAAATAGAAGCAAATAGTGTACTGAACCCGGAGCCGATGTCTGTCGACGAGAAAGGAGACAAGACGGACTCCCAAGTGATGGATGTAGATGGTGCTGCTAGTCAATAAATATAGTGTGGATTAGTGAATATCTCCTTTAGATACACATTTGGCATTCGTTATCAGCCTGCTTCATGTTTGTGCCTCTATAACACGTGTTGAAATTGTTTACGTTTGTACATTATACGTTTTTATTTTATTTTAATGCAAATGTGTAAAGCGATTTATGTCGTATTGGATTTAAAAATGGTCTCGTGTTGAGTCCTAAATAATATTTAATTTATTGTAATTATCATTACGGATAACACAATTTTCTCAATAAATGATGAGTACACAAATTCTGTTTTCTTTTTCAATTGCCCTTACACTGGTAATTCTCGAATCTAAGGTACATTAATAGATATTGAATTCTAAGATCGATCGAGAAGACTTATATTCATTTTGTTTCATTTTGTCTTCATTTAAGTAAATAACAAGTGGTTGTAGTATTTTACTTCACTTTCACTATATAGAATAATATAAATTTTACTAACTAAACAATAAAATAAATAAATACAAGATTATATAACTTTCAAGCCTTTATTTTCTAATAATTTACATGTATATTTTAGATAACAGTCTTTATAATTTTCAGGATCTCGAATAACAATATTTTTCACCTATACACTTAAAATATATGATGTACATAAATTTATAGTTAGTTCTTTGAAATTATTGAAGCTGTGAACTGCAACTATATAATTATGTGAATGATTATTATCAAGGATGACAGATCGAACGGGCTTTAATTTATTGGTCACTCTTATTATGAAGAGGTAATTAATAAATTGCTCAACCTGTTTAACCTTTTCGCTACAGGAAGCCTTGCTACAGTGTTTCCTAGGCAACAGCTCACCCATCGTGTGCAGGCGGTGTTTCTATAGGTTCTATAGGCATGGGATAGTTTGTCGTTTACCGCTAGGGGGCGCTGTTCCAACTGCGTACAAAATTGGGTTAACTTTTACGCTATCGAGAACGTTAAAAAACTCGCACCAAGCACACAGTTGTTATAAGTTTTTTTTATTTTAGTTTTTTATGGCTTAGATGGGTGAACGACCTCACAGCCCACTTGGTGTTAAGTGGTTATTGAAGCCCATAGACATCTACGACGTAAATGCACCACCCACCTTGAGACATCAGTTCTAAGGTCTCAGTATAGTTACAACGGCTACCCCGCTCTTTAATCCGAAACGCATTACTGCTTCACGGCAGAAATAGGCAGGGTGTTGGTACCTACCCGCGCGGACTCACAGGTCCTACCAGTTTGTGTCGTACAAACACCTCAATCCGAATATTTCGCTACTCCCATTCCTTCATGACTCTGTCCCAGTCCTCGTCTGATATGAACGGTTTATCGATGCAGCTGATCATGTGCTCTCCGCAGTAGATGCACTCGTTCGCCACGATGTCGTCTATTTCGTTCTTCAAGACTTCCCTGAGGGGCAGGCCGCTCGACGTGGCGGTGGACAGCTCGATGTTGGACAGCACGGACAGCTGACGCTGCAGGTCGCCCAGCTTGCTGCGCTTTGCTGCACCTGCGTTCAATCGACATTCGATGTTTGGACATTATCATTATAAGCTAGCTGACTGCACCTTGGGACGGATGGTGATCGTCACCCTATGAGCAGGCAGTTTCCTCCCGGTGATGGTCACGGGGCGACCTAAAGGGGGTTGAGGCTGCGCCGCACGCTACCGTCACTCTAGCGTCTATATCGGGTGTCCTCGGGGTGGTGCCGCGTGTCTGGTTGTAGTGTTGACCTCGGGAACCCCCCTACTCTGACCGGGTTCTGACCCCGGTCAGATATCGTACGTCGGGTGTAAGAGTGCAGGGGAGTCGTTTAGTGCGGTAGGGCCCTAAAATTCCTTGAGCCCGCGGTCTGCTCCCAACACCTTGCAGATCGTCAAGACAAGAGGCGCAGGGACCTCGTAGGAGGTTTGGCCTCAGGCCCGAAAAAAAAACTCGAGATTAGCTAATGGTAGCCGCAGAGTTCAATGACCGCGCGAGATCCTCACCAAGCATCGGCGTGATCTCGGCAGTGAGGCAGTCCGCGTGGAAGTGGTGTCCGCAGGGGAAGAGGTAGAAGGGCCGCAGCAGCAGCGCGAGGTCGCAGGCGCAGCACCCGGAGGAGGCCGACACGCGCACACTGCGACCACGGAACGAGTGGATCTCATCGCGAACCTGGAACGTTATATCCGACAGCTTAGCACCCTATCGTCCTATACCACCAAATAAACCGCGTCAAACTTATTGTCTGACAAATGAAACTAAGCACTTATAACAACTGTGTGCTTAGTGCGAGTTTTTTTATGTTCTCGATAGCGTAAAAGTTAACCCAATTTTGTGTTTTTTCCCTACCTAAACTGAGAGCCTTGAGAGGCTATTTCAGCGTAACCTCAACTAGTAGGTGAGCTCGCGGGGCTCAAACCTGACGACGTTGCTAACACGAACCCTAGCAAGAGCCGTGCTTCGCAGGATCTACCACCGGATCAGAAACGCGACCCACTGAGAAGATCCGGCGACAAACTCAGTGGGCTGTGTCTGAGGGTTAATTTACTCGTCCAGCCCTTCGTCGCAAGCGACGGGTTCGACGAGACCGATGGCCGATAATTTTGTAGTTGGAACAGCGCCCCTAGCGGCAAACGTACGCAAACGATCCCATTCCATACAAACATGAGCTAACTTTTACGCTATCGAGAACGTTAAAAAACTCGCACTAAGCACACTGACCCATTATGCCTGGACCTAATAACTGCTTTGCGGCAGAAATGGGCGGGGTGGTGGTACCGACCCGAGCGGGCTCACAATACACGCTACCGGTCAAATTATTGTCTATAGCGTCCGAAATGCGAAACAAATAATTGTCAATCGCATAAGCAAACCGTGAACAGAAGTCATAATAAATAATAATTGAATTTTGTGTATGTGTGACCGGATAAATAAGTGCATGGTTAGTTTCACATCTTCACATCACATCCTAATATGAAATTATAAATATAATGTGTAGTAGTGTGTAGCTGTATGTGTGTGTATGTATAAGGGGTCTAAACTCAGAAATGGCTGGACCGATTTCGTTAAAGTTTTTATATAATCTTCAGATCGGTCCAGCGCGTGATCCGCTGTAGCTTACAAAGTACCAGTAGACTAAAGTCAAATCAAAGACGGTTTGACTAGTGTGGTAAAATAATATGTCAAGTTTAGATGTACTACAATAATTGAACCGTAATATCTTTATTAGTGTCCTCGATAATACGTGTTAAAGATTGATGTCCTCTAGAGCCAGAGCGCCCCCGAAAGCAACTTACGTATTTAGCGGCCTTCGTAGCTTCTTCCATTTCAGCTTTTGTCTCCTCAATTTGATTGTTGTACTCCTGGAAATGACCATCGATAAACCGTGAATAATGCAAATCGGCTAAAATGTCTTTTTCACAGTGCAATACAGGTAGGAATGTGGTCTTTTCGCCACTGATTCGTATTACTAAATTGTACACAAAACAACAGAAGTTATTTAATAAAATTGGGATTAGACAGATTTTATAATAGAATTTCAAATTTACCTGTAAAGATTGACAAATAGGTTCCCTAAAATGATCTATGGTGACTACGTCGCTGAAGAACGGCAGGATATCTTCGATCTTGATCAGGGGACACTCCTCGAGGAAACTCATCGCTTCCTTGATGTCTTGGTTCTTGGTGATCACGTGTTCAGCTGGGAATACAATTTATTGTAGCAGTGAAATACATCTTGAATATGATACAAAGAATAGTTAATATTTATAATTATTAACTAATTCTAATCAGAAATGCGTTATATAGAAATTCTCAAAAATTAGAACACAGGAATTTCTCTCGGACACCAGCGCAATTACACAATATCTTATAATTAGCACTGCATGAGATGTTAAAAGTCAAACGAAGCACGGGGTGAATGACCTTATACGACGCGGGGCGACTGCGGGTTGACGCAAAATATTTATTTTTATTTTTATAACAACTAAGAGGCAAACGAGCAAGACAGGTCACCTGATGGTAAGTGATTCACTTATAAACTTGCTATAATCTACTACAAAACAACAGTCTTAGTAATACTTGTGTTTTTGGGTAATTTAACACTGCTCCTGGTGTGAGCACCCGCCGTTAGATGATTATCGGAACCCATGGACTTCAATCACAATATGAATGTATCTTGAGACATGAGGCAGGAGTCTCAATTACATTGTTGTAACAATTTAAAATTTACATGTGTAAATTAGGCAACCTTAATATATTAGGGTTGCCTTCGTTAAGTTTATTTTTTTATTGCTTAGATGGGTGGACGAGCTCACAGCCCACCTGGTGTTAAGTGGTTACTGGAGTCCATAGACATCTACGACATAAATGCGCCACGCACCTTGAGACATAGGTTCTAAGATCTCAGTATAGTTACAACAGCAGAAATAGGCGGGCTGATGGTACCTACCCGCGCGGACTCACAAGAGGTCCTACCACCAGTAATTACGCAAATCATAATTTTGCGGGTTTGATTTTTATTACACGATGTTATTCCTTCACCGTATAAGTCAATCGTGAACATTTGTGAAGTACATTTTTCATTAGAAAAATTGGTACCCCCCGCGTGCGAGATTCGAACACCGGTGCATCGCTCAACACGAATGCACCGGACGTCTTATCCTTTAGGCCACGACGACTTCGACGACGAAGTGAGTATAGTAGAATTATTTTGTCCGTGCAGTTTGGGTCATAAAACATAGCCCGGCTAGGGCGGTGAGCATGTTGCGCGAGCGTAACGCCATTATCGATAAAAACAAATGAGTCATCGAAGGCGGCGGGGTGGTATACGAAGGATGGTGAGACATTGTTATGTTATGAGTCATTTGTACTTACCTGCAAATTATAGTACATTATGTCGAAGAGAATGTGTTTTTATGCATTCGTTTTCTGAATTTCTTTAGTGACACAATGGCTACTCCTTTTTTTGTATCAAAACGGCACAATTTATTCAATATAATATTTACACGTGTTGTTAATCAATCAATAATTTCTGCCGTTCTCGTTAACTTGCTGCGGCGTTATGTGGTGTAAGTGTTCAATTAGTGATTTTCCCTTTCATTTTTATCACTAACCCACAAAATGATAAAACTAAATACACTATCGATAACGCTTATCGACAACAATAATGTTCATCACTATGCCCGTCCATAAGGCTCGTGAGTGGAAGAGAGAGCGAAATACTCGCTTCACCGCTCCGATTTTTTATGACCCAAATTGTACGGGGAAAATAATTCTACTATAGTAAGAATAAGTTCAGTTCGAATAAGTGAGAGTGGCAGTCACCGATGTGCAGCCACAGCTGTCGCTGCACGTGCGGGCAGTCGGGCAGCGCGGCGACGCTCTTGGCGAGCGCGAGCCGCACGCGCAGCGCCAGCTCCACGGCGCCCTCCCACAGCCCCAGCAGCGCCGACAGCTTCACGCACGCCTCCGACGCGTTCTTCTCGCGACAAAGCCTGTTCCGACAAGCTTCAACTTATTCTTAGGCGTATCGAAATCAGTCAATGCTGTTTCTTACAAATCTAAATATTCATCTATATATTTAGGTATCATTCGTGAACAATATTAGCAGTTATTTTCAGTTTTTTTTTTTTAATTTTGAATTTTTTATGTTGAGTAGAGAAACCAACAACTATAGAAAATTTTAAAATACTAACTTGGCTAATAAAAAATACTAACTAACTAATTGGCATATTTTTTCTATGAATCAACTTGAGATTCAAATGAACTGTTCATGTTTAATTTATGAAAATTTACCAAAATCCAAATTTTATTAAGTTTCATTAGTTTCATGTTATGATAACACCGCCCCCAGTGAACACTCACCTCAGCGCGTAATGAACATCGTAGTTGACCAGCGCGATGTCCTGCCCTTGCCGCGACAGGTACCTCATCAGCGCCTGCTGATCATGCTCCGCGTACAGCGTCAGCAAGTAGTTGTGAATCGCCTTGTCCTTCACGTTGAAGTGCACCACAATGAACTCCAAGTATCTGGTGATCTCCGTGATGTGCGCCTCGTCGTTCTGACAGGACAGGAACGCCGGCAACAGCTTCGAGGGACTCAGCCTGGCGCCTTGAGCGATCAGAGCGTTCACCATGTGCTTGGGAGCCGCCTCCATCAGCACCGGAGCGAACTGGTAGAACAGGTCCGGGCGCTTCAAGTTCTGCAGCGCGTTTATAGCTTCTAGATAATTCTTCCTGTACACGTACTGGGACACGACGTTTTCAAAATCCTCGTTGATCATCGTCAGTTTCAGTAGATTCTGTTTGTCGCCGTGCGAGGACATCAGCTCGTATATGACGGATTTAACGTGACGCATCGTCTTCGATACCTTCGGATGGAGCAGGAACACTTCGAAGTCGCTCTGCATCTGATGGTATTCCGAGCTGTCGCCCCTGCCCGTCCGCCGCAGCGTGCCCAGTTGCGACAGATACAACTCCGTCATCCAGATAACGATCATCGAGATCAACGTCTTATCGTCATCTGTCAATGACTCCAGTCGCCTTTCCAAGTATTTCTTTAAGGCATCAAATTGCTCGGCTTCCAAAAACTTAAGACATATCGTCTCAAAGCTTCTTTGGGTTTCGGCATATATTTCGGCACTTCTCTCGTATTCGCCTTTCGAGAAGAACAGATCGGCTTGTTTCATGTTCACGATGTCCAGGAAGGCCGGATTGTTCTGACAATATTCTCTAGCCAGATCGAACTGTTCTTTATCTGAATATATCTGCCATAGGTTCCGTTCTTCACGAACGATCTTGTAGCGAAATATCTTTTTTTCCGTAAACACCCAAATCTGTCTTTTCTTCAAGTCGCGTATTATTGTTTTGAGTTTCCCATGAGCTTCCGAGTAAATATCCTCGTGGACAAGTTCTTGGTTGAGTAGAGATACTACTTTAACTCGATCTGAATACATTAGCAGAGTGTGGAATTCCGTGAGAACAAATGATAATGGGGGTATTTCTTTGCCGTCCGGTCCCGAAGGGTAGGTTACGAGCGAGCCTTGGGTGACAACAGAATTTGAGTTCTGTTGAGATGTCGGGTCCAACTGTAAAATTTATATAATTCAAGCAACGCTCCCTAGATTCGAATGTCAGTTCCATTACAGTCAAAATAGGACATAATTTAAGGTGCAGCGATCTTCTCAAAGGGTCACAACAAATGTGGCACAATGAAAATTATCAGCAATATTTTGTTTCTTGCTTAGAAGATGAGTTCAGGTGGACCCACTTGACCTTAAGTACCTGACCCCGTTGACATCAATAACGTAAATCCCGACACCCATCATGAGACATGAGTTCTCAGTTTTAGAGTACAACGGCTGTCCCGCCCTACAAACTGATTTTGATAGTTAACTAGTGTAATTGTCGAAATAATACGTATGTAATAATAAGTATGATGATTATCATTACCTGACCATAGAAGATACCCTGTTCGGTAAGCCAGGCAAACGTTTTAGGCATTTCATTCTTATCGAAGTAATATTGTAGCTCAGAATATTTTAACGTAGAAGGTATTTCCTGAAAACCTGTTTCTGGAATGGTCAAATACGGATAAAAGACTGACTTCAGAGATGGTTTGTTCTCAGAAAAAATGGCATGCCCAATGAACTGGTAAATTCTTGTTGGTGTTGTCACAAATATACAGTACTTATTTGTTCCGGCAACCCTGTGAAATTTTATTCCAGTTATGGGTGTGTCTGCCCCCTTTCCAATGTCGAAAATCTGTAAATTAATTACAAACATTAGGTTTTAGTTCTTTAAAAACAATTAAATATGTACAATGACATTAAGTTATACTTTAGTTTAATTAATGAAACAATTGATTGTCTTTCTCAGACACTTTATCAGGAATTATAATAACACCATACTGTTATACTGTGTATCAGAAACCAACCCATCCAGATAGATACTTATATGTTGATTTCATCACTACCCAGACTACTTCTCTGATTTGGTTTGTCTTTGTTACAGAGAGCTTAAGACAATAGTGTCATTCAACTGCTGAGGGAAGAACATCACTACGAAAAAATTAGCAACATTTAAGCGAGCATCTTCTATCATTGTACAAACCCTACAAGAAACCAAACCTAAGAACCTTTGAAAGTTCGTGTGATCTATAAACCGGATTATGATTGTAGGCTCTCATTGATAGGACAGAATAAGAGACACATATAAGGAGCATACTGCAGACGTCAAGAATAACCGATAAGGCAAGTTGCACAGTTGTTGTGTCAATTACCTCTGGACAGTCGTACCAACCATTTTATGAGAATTTATAATTTTCAAATAATTGCTAAAGAAAATAACCCCACAATAGATTCACAGGCTATTGAAAAAAAACCTTAACCTGAATAGAAAAGGTGGTTGAATGCTTTTGTAACATCTGGGATTCTCTTATCGTAAAGATGGAAACCCAAGATACATATTGCAAGATGACAAGATAGTGTTAATTTTTTTATGTGTTAATAAATGTAACAAGAAATAATATGAAACAAGATTAAAAAAGTTTTTTTACCACTTCCTCTACTTCTTTGGCTCCACAAAGTGGCAGGTAATTTGGCAGCTTGCAAAAAGAAACGTAAAGGATGCTGCAACTATTGCAAACATTGCATGGAACCAAATATAAGTAAGATTTTTTTCAAATACAATAAAGAAAAGAAGTATTGCCAATTTGACAGTTTTACTTTAATTTTTACATATTCTTCAAATTTAAAATTACAAAATACTCTTGAACTTGTTATAGTTATTGTTCTATCACATCTAAATGTATGGTAACCATTCCCATGTCAATAAAGGAATAATTACCTAAACATGACAATTAGCAATCGATTCTTTTGTATTATTGCAGATGAGCCAGCACACACCTGATGGAAAGTGGCCCTTTTTTTCTTGTAGAAATAATGCCAAGAACACAGTCAAAAGTCCACAGTCTATCCCATAAACATAAGGAGGAATATCAGGTTTGTATGGTCATAATTGACAATTTAGCGGTAGGCAGCGGCTTGGCTCTGCCCCTGTCATTGCTGAAGTCCATGGGCGACGGTAACCACTCACCATTAGGTGGGCCGAATGCTCGTCTGCCTAAAAGGGCAATAAAAAAAAAACCTTACCTGTCGCCAGTAGTGTTCACTGGCAATGAACATTTTGTCATTGTTCGGTTCTAGCTCAGTTTCCAGTAAATGTCCTTTAGAAGTGCCTAATAAAATAGGTCCAGTCATGTTGTTAGAAGTGTTTTCGAAATTCCAACCAACTTCAGTAATTTCATAGTTGGGGATTTTGCTGACAAATTTTAGTTTCGAGCTCTTTTGATGGATATAGGCTAGTTCAGGGCATCCATCTTTTGTTTTAGATGAAAATGACATTAAGAGATGACATCCGAGTGGATCCAGAAACAAACCGCTCAATTTAGAGGTTGGCTGACAATATTTTGAGTAGTGAATTTCTGCAAAAAATTATTAAACTATGATTAAAATTGGCAATATACTATAATAATAAATTCAAAATACCTAGCTAGACATTTTCATCTTAAGGAATTATATCTGACACATTTTCTCTAATTTCAACTTAACAAAAAAAAAACCAATAATGACTAATTTTTTTGTACATTTCATAATAATATCCTAGTCTTTTCAGAAACAAACATTTGGAGCAGCTCCAATACACATGGACTCTAGATTACCAGCAAGGCAGTTTTTAAAACTTGTTTGGCAAAGTTGAAGTTTCCAAACATCTTTATAACAAAACTAGCTGTACCCGTCCGCTTCACTTCGCATTTAAAATTAGCATTATTATTTCTCACCCCCACAAAGGTTCTCATCATTAACACCCCCGCAACTGGTGTAGGGAGTCCAACAGTCATATAAATATCAGCCTATCCATTAACTACATGTATTTCCTACATGGATACCAAGTTTCAAGTCAATCAGATGCATGGTTCAGTAGTTATAGCGGAACATCCTTAAAAACCACTGTAGATTTATATATTAGTATAGATAACAATAAAATATCTATAATACACAAATAAAATATTTTTTGTGACACAAAGTTCAGGGATTCAACTGAATTTGAAGCTGAAACTGCCCAAAATGGGCAAAATATTTTATTACAATAAGGCCGACAACTAAATAATTTATATAGCATTAGATAGTAGCATCTGGTATTGATATCTAGTGTATTTTTAGCCATTGGCTTTTTTACTAATGCTATAAATAAGTATGACTATTAAATTATTCACTATTGTATTAACAGTGTTTTATTGTATACTATTTATTAGTATTTATACTATTACTGATCTTTGACATTTGAGTCAGCCTAGAGTGTTGAAAGTTTATTTATTTTTATTTATAAAGTTTATTTAGTTTGTTGGACTGATCAGGTGAAAGACCTTACTGAAACCCCACTTAAACGAGTGTGTGCGCCGGGCCTCGGTTCGCAAACTGTGGAAAACATCTGTTAAGGCTTTAATGAGCAAGAATTCCACATGACCACAACTGCTCTGCCAAGAGCAACCGATTATGATGATGATGAGAGTGTTGAAAATGTTATGGTAGATATTTCACAGAAGTCAGAATCGTTCACAGAATAATATCATCAGATGCCAAATAATGCTAAACCTGCCATGCCATGAATAGTTTTATTTTGCATAATATGTTAAATACTGTTCAATTTAACAAAAAAAATGTTATTATCATCGTTGCATTTAAAATATAATGCTGAACTGATACCTTGCTCAGAATCAGGATTCCTTATGTCCATTCTGAACAATTTCCCATTCGCCATAGCCACCACTAAGTTATCACTAGAAACGGCAGCGTGAGTGATTAAATCCGATGGGTTGAGGTTCATTTTCTGTTTCGTAAACATCGGTACATTATCTTCGAGCTGCATATTGATGTATCCTGAAGATATCATGGGCTCAGCAGGTGGCTTTGTTCTATAGGAAGCCTGTGCTGCTTGCTTATACTGATCTAATATCGAAGTCATTTTGGAAAAACAGTTCCTATAACTACACCGACGACAGTGAACAGTAATTATAGCTCTGTGATAAACATTACGCTTTATTTATGTACATTTTAAATTTTAATTAATTTGATTGACATAAAAACAAGTACCAAGTATGATGTTTTTTTGTTCAATTATATAGGCAAGGGGAATGTCACCCAGTAGTCCAAAGCCATGTCAATGTCAATGTTTCCACATTTAATAATTCAATCATTTTAAATCATCATCATCATCATCATTTCAGCCTATCGCCGTCCACTGCTGAACATAGGCCTCTCCAATAGATTTCCAGTCGCGACCGGTCCATTGCCACCTGCATCCAACGAGACCCAGCGCTTTTTACTAGGTCGTCGTCGGTCCATCTAGTAGGTGGCCGTCCCACACTGCGCTTGCCAGTACGTTGTTGCCACTCCAGGATCTTTCTGCCCCATTTTAAATACATCAAATTAATCTTAGTTTAAGTGTAAGTTCCCAGAAATGCTAGACTTTGATTTCAAATGTAATAATATCTTGGAGAAGTTCTAAGTAATTGAGAAAATTGAGATCACACATTCAATTTATATCTTAAAATTTCTCGAAGCGTAACAGCAGTATATTAAAGTTGTTTTTGTGGCTTTTTTATAGAAGGTAAATGTTTAAAAAATGAAATAATATTATTTTTATGTTGTCAAACAGCGAGAACGGATATGTGAATGTGAACGGCGAAAAAGTGAAGTGTGGTATTTGAAGTCGTAATAATTAAATTGAGTTTTAATTGGTATTTCGGTGGACTTTACCACGAGTGAATATTTGAGATGAAAGTAAAAATAGATTCTTCCAAAATTTCAATAAGTCCTTAACATTTTATTATGATACCTAATTATATAACCGAGGTAGTCCGAAGCCAAACTGGAAATAACCAAAGGAAGAGATTAAGTCTCAAAACAAAGAAAAAGTGTGGCTGATTTTTTTTTCTCGAGAATCGAAACGCTTGGATTCGTTCTTATGGTCTAGTAGTGGTATGTTCAAAAGAAAAAAAGATTTTTCCATTGAAAAAAATTGGCTTTCCTTTCCTATTCCATTTGCCTATTCAAATGACCTAAAAATATTTTTGTTGTGAATGTCATTCAAACCATTTCAAACAGATGATTTGCATTTTGATTTATTTTAACCTTTAATGTTCCATGCAATAAAGTTTACTTTGCTAAGTTAAGAACAAACTTTTGTTGTCAATGCTCATCATTGTGATTATCTCAACAACGAAAAAGCAAAATTGTGATAACATAATTCAGTGTATAAGCGTTTACGGTCTTCTCTTTTGACAATATTTGGATCTGCCACGTACTTAACGAAGCCAAAATCAACTATATTGTACCTTAATATTTGTTGTAGTAGATATTAAACGAAGTTAAAAACTTTATCTAATTTTGTAGTTTTTTAAGCGCAAACCATTCAAAACGATTGAAATCTTTTGTATATTTTATCGTATCACTTGTTAATCTTATTAAGTGCCTTGTGACTTCGTGCTGTGAACAGTAGTTTTTAAATACGAAATGGCAACAGGTGTCGCACTAAAGTCTTTAAGACTTAATAATTGTAAGTTAATCGTTCTTAAGTTTAATTTGTTTTATCTACAAAATCAAATATTTTAATTAATGCACTTGTAATCAATTCAACTACGGAATTGCTTTATTTTTTTCTCTGAACTAACTTGAGATTCAAATGAACTGTTTATATTTAAATTATCAATGATTTTATATGTAAAAAGATTTTATATAAAAAATCATTGTAAATAATGAAAAATTACCAAAATCCAAATTTTATTAAGTTCCATTAGAGAAAGATTATTTCACAACAGTGACTTATGTATACAGTTAATTATGTAAATATCTTAAATCCTATTTGTTAAGGCTTAAATGGGCACATTTGGATAATTCCTTTTGATTTTGTGTTTACTTCTGATTTAGAGGTTTTTCATAGTCATAAGGAACCATGTACAGAACCTTTGTGTGTATTCATCCTCTTTGGTACAGGGTGGAACTTGACCTTAAATGTATACAGCCAAATTTTAGTCAAGATTTGTGTAGGTCATGGATCTGAATCTAAGTATAGTGGTATTATTCATTAGAAATTCCCTGGCTAATGGGCTTGTATCTATGTGTGATATGAAGATCTTTTTTTTACAATTTGACTTTGTGATTTGGTCTTTAATAAATTGTGGAATTTGGTTTGTCTGTTTATATCACTGTTTTAAGATTATTTTTGGAAATCTTCAAAAATACTTCTTCAATATTTATTATATTTTCACTGGAATATTCATTCATTTCAGTATATACAATAATTTAGCTTATTATATCAGTACAATTATAATACAAAATATTTAGAAAGCAATAGTTCATGATAATTAAAATACTTTGAAAAAGGCATTGATATGCAGGTATATCTGTCTTACAATACAATAATAATGTTAATGGATGCTATTTGGACATCTATAGTCCCCTGCTTCTATTTCCAAAATATAACAGATCAGATAAAACACTTATAATAAGTGATTTATTTGCTTTTATTCATAAAATGTATTTGGATGTCTGAAAATACAGAAAAACGAAAAAAAGTGATACAGCTTATAATCATTCAGGATTTAAAAAACTAAATTTTTGAAGTATTTAAATTAGTGAACCAAAAGAAATGCTGAGAGAAAAACAGAAAGAACGCTCACTATGGTCCATTTCTATGGATATACTCCTGGACATATAATCCAAGGCAGGTTAACATATGGTACACCACCAATCTTAAAACTAATGCCCAATCCCCATGCAGATTGATAAGAGGACATGCTGGATCAACCCATATAATGTGGAATAAGAGCAAGAAGATGTAGAAAAAGTTTTTGGATGTCTGAGATATCCAAGATAATAGCAATAACTATAGAAGCTTATGTCTAATTTTGGGATTGATGGAAAATTATATAACATATGGCTATGGCAGTATATCGATTGCATAGTACAAAAAATAAATTAACCTATTGCCCATCAAGACAGGACACATTCATGCCCCTGTGTGGCCAAAACGCAACCCCTATCTTTTTTTTCGGAATATTCATTCGAACCCTTTGTAGCTATTCTAGCTACTCATGGGTTCGACCTGAGAGTTTGCCAACACTGGCCCTAGCAAGAGCGTTGCATCGCAGAATCTACCACCGGATCGGAATCGCGACCCACTGAAAAGATCTGACGAGAAGCTCAGTGTAGTCTAGAAGCTAGTTCAATGAAGAGCTCAACGAGGACAGTGACCGGTGCTTGAAAAGTATAAAAGCGAAGCAATTCCGTACAAAATCAACATCACTAAAGCAATATCAAATATCTTATGCTAAACTTTCATGTTGTGGTCAGCGTATTTTATTAGAGACGGTCGGCATTATTAATAAAACTGTTGTTTAAAAACGACAACAAATACTCGCTTAAATAGCAATCCGGACTAACAAATAATTTCATCTTTTTTTTCGTGTTGAGTCATCAAAACATTTTATTGGCATCGGTCTTTGATATTTATGCAAATTGTCAAGATAATCGGACTTCAAGTCGGTGAATATGACATTCAAAGATTCCGTCCGACCGAAATCGGTCGTAGAGACTTTTAGGAGTTCATGGAATTTGGGAGGAAACGCTGCTCTTATTAACATCTTTCATTCTATTTTGTATAGTACTAGATCACGTTCCACCTGCTAAGTTATTTATGAAGTTCATGGGCATCATAAAGCGAATGCTTAACGGCGAAGTCTCAATTGTGTTATATAAAGATCGGCTCGGTCTTCAGATAAGAACGCGAAATGACTGCTTCACGAGTATACCTCTCAAATATTAAGTATATAACTAAGAGTATACCTACCCATATATTGCACCTACCCGTGGGGCCCAGAATGCCGGAAGTAAAACAGTAAAGTCTATTTCATGCTCAAATTACCGTCTAAAAGGCTACAATACATTTGAGTTCCCCAAGAAAATCGTGTCTTCTGTCTTAAAAAATCAGCTTGTTTGTTTTTAACAAAAAATAATAATATTCCGTACATCGAAACTAGCCAAACATTGTTTTTCGTTCGGTTTTGGTATGTGGGACTTGACGATCTGCAAGGTGTTGGGAGCAGACCGCGGGCCCAAGGAATTTTAACTAAACGACTCCCCTGCACTCTTACACCCGACGTCACATCTCTGTCTGGGGTCAGAACCCAGTCAGAGTAGGGGGGTTCCAGCAGTCACCACTACAACTAGACACGTGGTGCCACCCCGAGGACGCCCGACCGAACTGAGCTGACACCTACGCTAACGCGTTTGTATATCATCTATTACAGCACTAACAAGGTTCCGTCTTCATGAAAGATGCCCATGTCCAGAGTGGACATGGATATCCCCAAATCCCCAAGAAGGGTGACCGGTCGGACCGATCGAGTTATGGGCCTATAGCGATAACGTAGTTGGTTTCCAAAGTGATGTAGCGAATAATAAATACACAACTCCTGAAGTATCTTGAGGTTAGCCAGCTGATCAGTGATCGACAGTATGGTTTCCATAAAGTTTTAGCTCAGCTGGCCAGTTGGGCCTTATGGTCATCTGCCTACAAGAACAATAAAAAATATTTAAAGTGAAAACATAAAACGCGGAATTAAACCATAAAAGCGATTTTAATTATTGCGATACATTGTTGACAGTGCTCTCGGCGTCTTGCGTGAAGGCGTTAGCGTCCCAATGCAGAAGCTTCACGAGTCAGCTGACGGAACAACAAAAAGAATATCAAGCATTATCTAAGGAATTCGCCGACAAATACTTGAAGCCGAACGCAGCGAAGCATGACTTGGAAGGACGGTTCCCTTTTGATGTGGTATGTACTCAGAGGCGGATTATCCGTAAGGTAAACTAGACCCAAGAGGCGTGTAGTTACAAGGGGCGCGCTAGCTCAGAATTTTTAAATAAATAAAGAAAATAACATATCGACGATTAAGAACTAAATGCTGATCTATAATAGATTATTCCTATTTGGCCTATTTCCCAGAGCATAAAGGAATCCTGAATTTCGATGTTCGTTTTGTAATTCCTCTAGATTTCTTCACAGTTATAACGTCATATTTCATTCGCGCATTAGCGTAAGTACAAGGGTCCTGGTCTACTAAAGTCTAGGGTTTGATGTTACAACGTCATCGTAATTACAAAAACAACTAGTTAAAATTTATAGTATTATGATGGCCATTTATGGCCGGTACAGGGGCGCCGATAAAGTGATTGTCTAGGGCGCCCTGAACCTTTAATCCGCCACTGTATGTACTGCAGGCCCGTTACAGAAGACTAGCTTAAGCTCCACATAACATAACTTTCGTTTGAAGATCTGGGTGAAGTTTGTTCTATTACACATACATATATGCAATGCTTATGCAATGAATGAATCAAAATTTTTATCCAAGTCTTTGACCGAACTTCGTTACAAAAGTTGTTCGCTAATTCGTTAATTCATAATTCTTAGAGTGATTCAGTATAATGATGACCATAGATAATACACATAAATTAGTATGATGACTTGTATGTTTTTTTTTTGTTGCTTAGAATTGTGAACGAGCTCATAGCCCACCTGGTATTAAGTGGTTACTGGAGCCCATAGACATTTACAACGTAAATGCACCACCCACCTTGAGATATGTTCTAAAGTCCTCAGTATGCGTAGTTACAACGGCTGTCCCACCCTTCAAACCGACACGTATTACTGTCTCACGGCAGAAATAGGCACGGTGGTGATGGTACCTACCCGCGCGGACTCACAAGAAGTCCTACCACCAGAAAACTAAATCTTACGACCATTTAAAGAATGTAGTTATTTTAACATTTACGAATTGATATATAAATACTGCTTTTGTCACTACATAGTATAAAACAAAGTCGCTTTCTTTGTCCCTATATCTGTCTGTCCCTATGTATGCTTAAATCTTTAAAACTACGCAACGGATTTTGATGCGGTTTCTTTTAATAGATAGAGTGACTGAAGAGGAAGGTTTCTATGTATAATAGCATCCATTAAATAGTGGATAAATCAATAATAAATTGGTTTCCGAAGCGAAGCGAGGTCGGGTCGCTNAGTATAAAACAAAGTCGCTTTCTTTGTCCCTATATCTGTCTGTCCCTATGTATGCTTAAATCTTTAAAACTACGCAACGGATTTTGATGCGGTTTCTTTTAATAGATAGAGTGACTGAAGAGGAAGGTTTCTATGTATAATAGCATCCATTAAATAGTGGATAAATCAATAATAAATTGGTTTCCGAAGCGAAGCGAGGGCGGGTCGCTAGTTAATAATATTTGATTTTGGGAACTTTGAAGGCGGAACGAAATACTCAATTTTCGATGGAACATTGTAAATTAAGTTTAATATATCGTTGAATAGCAGTGTATTTTCATGATTAGAACTTGAATCGTGAAATGTTAATATTAACGTACTTACCTACTATCTACGACATTATCACCATATCTGGTTATCACAATGACATGTGATATAACATTTTGACCTTGTCATTTTACTAAAGTATATCAATACGATATCTAAATATATTATCGTCAGCGCTAAAATATTAATATTGACACATAATGATAATAGAGACGGTTATGGTTTTTTTTTTCAATTATTGCTTAGATGTGTGGACGAGCTCACAGCCCACCTGGTGTTAAGCGGTTACTGGAGCCCATAGACATCTACAACGTAAATGCGCCACCCACTTTGAGATATAAGTTTTAAGATCTCAGTATAGTTACAACGGCTGCCGTACCTTTCAGACCGAAACGTATTACTGCTTCACGGCAGAAATAGGCAGGTCAGTGGTACCTACCCGCGCGGACTCACAAGAGGTCCTACCACCAGTAATGATTTATATCAGATCGATGCGCACTTATTATTGTTTTAAATCGACGAGCGAGATCAAGGTCCCCTTTAATCTTGAATCGTATACAGATGTCATGAACCTCACCTTGGGACATGAGGTCGATGTCTCAATTAAACTGTGTCATGGTTGTCCCACTCTTCAACCCAGAACCAAGGACTGATTCGCGGTAAAAATTTGGGAGGATGGGGAGTTTACAACGCGTCCCACTCAATCATATAATTTTACAATATTGTAACAAAGAGGGAGATATCTCAGCGCGCCTTTCATATTACTTCGCTAATACCTAAATGAAAGACTCAAACCCTAGTATAACGAGAGTGAACACGGTCAGTGTGATGACACTGACCGCATTCGAGAACGTTAAAATACTCACACCGAGCGGTGTGAGTATTTTAACGTTCTCGATAGCGTAAAAGTTAACTCAAATTTGTATGGAGTAGGAACAGCGCCCCTAGCGGTAAACGTAGGCAAACGTTCGAATTCTATACAAATTTGAGTTAACTTTTACACTATCGAGAACGTTAAATAACTCACACTAAGCACACATCTTCGTTCTTCAGTTCGTGGCGTTGATATACATAGGTCTTTTTAGTTTGAGTTCTTTCTAATCTGGGACTCGGGCGCAGGTTTTTGAGTGAAAAGGACATTTCAGTTGATTTAACTCCATCATGACCGGCTTGCTGGGTCCATGAGGAATTCCGGATAATTCCAAACTAAAAAAAACGGTATGACTGCCAACAATGCAAACCGCTGTCTGGTGTAGTGGTAAGTGACATGGTCACTACATAAGGGGGTCGCGGGTTCGAATCCCGCCAAGGGAAGATATTTGTATGATAAATATAAATCGCACCTTTAGAATTATAAAGACCCAACTCAAAAAATGTGTTTTTTGGAAAACATTTATTAAAGTTCTCAACCCGAAAAAACGTAGAGGAAGGGGACAGAGTGAAAGAGACCGATAGATAGCTTTGTCCTTTTATAAGGTACTTATGGTCATTTGATTACTAAAAGTCGCTGAACAGGATTATTCTAGGTAAATTTTTGAATTAAAGACGAAATCCAAATATTTCAAAATGAGTCTCTATAATTTTAAAGGTGCGAAATGTCTTTTGCAGGGTTATGGATGTATATTAAATATATGTATGTGTATAGTAAAAATCTTACATTTATATCCGTTATCTGGTACCTGTAACACAAGTTCTTTACGAACTTATTACGGGACCAGTTAACGTGGCGTAATCGTTAGTAAATATTTATTTATTTATAATATCCACGGAATATTAAGGACCAGTTAACGTGGCGTGATCGTTAGTAAATATTTATTTATTTATAATATCCACGGAATATTAACATACTGAAACAAAAGTATTAATGATAAGGTAATTATGAAAATGTATAATAAAATTCATTCACATGAGATTAGGAGTTTATTACTATTTCGGAACAAGAAACGGAAATTCGTTTATCTTTTACCCTCCAAGAATCTTATATTTATTATTACAGTATAAAAATATATATTACATAACATAATTAATGATTTTGACATTATTATCGCAATGTCAGTACAAGTTCACTAATGAGTGTTTTATTTCAAAGCAGCGAATTCCGATTACATTCCGCTGTGTTATCGCTGGTATTTTAAAAGTCTATTATTTCAAATACACGTGTGCCATCTATCGTATTCTGATGGTACTATTACAGAAACCTTCTCTAGCTTCACAATTGTACCAAGATTTATCACGATTGGGTGAATGGCTTAGGAACGCGCAAAAGACAGACATTCAATTATATAGACTCCCAACTGCCTACGGGATATATAATATATCATAATAATATATTCGGTGGGCAACGGTTTGGCACTACTCCTGGGATTGCTGAAGTCCATGGGCGACGGTAACCACTCACCATCAGGTGGGCCGTGGTTCATCGTCTGCCTACAAGGGCAATAAAATAAAATAAAACTTTTAACTATATAGATTTCCAGTAAGATGAACATTACATCATTTATTACTGGTGATAGGATGTCTTGTGAGTCTGCGCGGGTAGGTACCACCACCCTGCCTATTTCTGCCGTGAAGCAGTAATGCGTTTCGGTTTGAAGGGTGTGACAGCCGTTGTAACTATACTTGAGACCTTAGAACTTATATCTCAAGATGGCTGGCGCATTTACGTTGTAGATGTCTATGGGCTCCAGTACTTAATACCAGGTGGGCTGTGATCTCGCCCACTCATCTAAGCAATAAAAAATAAAAATAAAAACTCGTGCTGGGCTATAGAATGCGGTTATATTAATTTTTTTTTTTTTTATATTATATTAATTGGCGAATGAAAAAACTACTTCTTGTAGATAAAAAAGCTGACAGCCACAGGCCTGATGGGCGCCTGCGTCGACGAAGAATACGGCGGCAAGGGTCTAGACTACTTGACACTGGCCGTCGCCGTGGAGGAGCTGTCCCGGGGTTGCGCCAGTACCGGCATGATCGTGTCCATTCACAACTTCCTGTACGCGAACTTGGTGAACGAAAAGGGAACTCCCGAACAGAAGGATCTGTTCCTGAGGGACTACACTAAGGGCTCTCTAGGATGCTTCGCCCTCAGTGAACCTGGTAAGTTTTAATCATATTAATAATGAACAATTACATAATTTCCGTACTGTGGCGTTTAAGAACGCACCTTTTTATGATGCGTAAGCCGGAACGCACGAGAAGTGGGAAAAAGAAGATAGTCTGTGACACGGGACCTTTTTTTACCGCCAAAAAAATTTAAAACTTAAAATATAATGTGTTTAATAACTAATATAATATAATATAATAACTTGAGAATTGTTAATGCCGCTACAACAATAAATTTCTATTGTTTCAACTGTGGTGTTAATTACATAAAACACGACTTTACGGCGAAATAAAGAAGGGACTCTATATGGACTCGCTCAGTACTATTGATTTATTATGTGTATGTAAGTGTATATATATATTTAATTTATTGATGCACAAAACAAATTACATTACAGTACATATTAGCTAAATCGTACAAGTAGTACCTAGATCTAATCTGGATTGCAATGTAAATAGTATGTGCACTCAGCAAATCCATATTAATGTACATAGGTTTGGCTATTGAAAACACAATTGAAAATACAAATATTGATAACTAGCCATTGTTAAATAGGATATCCTTCACACATGGTATATAAACCATGTAGCGTTTTTACGTAATATGTATTTTTTTTATTAATGTATTGTAAATAAATAAATAAATAATGTAATCAAAGAATAAAAGCCAAGCGTCGTCATTTCGAATAGAATACTTTTTTATTTTTTTCTAGACTAGACTTTAATAAATTTGTACGTATAAATTTTAATAATATTACTTACATTACTTGATTAAATAAAATGCATTTTCATTTGTAACAGAACTTATGGTTGGACTTAGTAATTTGTATGGAGTTCGAACGTTTGCTTATTTTTGCCTTTTGCTCTTTTGATTACTTTTGGGGCGCTGTTCCAACTGCATACCAATTTGAGTTAACTTTTACGCTATCGAGAACGTTAATAAACTCGCACTAAGCGCACTGGTTTGTTGGTCACGGAGGCCAATCACATTGTGCTGACAGCGGGCTTCGTGACGGATAACGGTCGTTTACCAGAAAGTGCATGCGAGCGGTTTCCATGCTACCTTGCGTTTTTTTTTATGATTGGTGGATTACTGGTGGCCCTGAGGCCTTTCCAGGTTCACCAGGGCGAGCAAAGGCTCGGCCAGGAGGGGTGGGATTTGCTAATAGTACGGCCGAGCGCCTCCAAAGGAGACCTAACAACTCAAGAGCAACTGCTTCGCGAATGAATCTACTACCGGATCGGAATCGCGACCTGCTGAGAACATCCGGCGAGAAACTCAGCGGGCTGACGTTTAAGGTTAGGTTGCACGTCGAGCTCTTTGCCGTGTTCGACGAGTACGGTTACCGGGGTCCCTTCTCCTAGTGTTAGAGCTCAAGATGTCTAATGCAAGGGTTATTGGATCTGATGGATCCGTAAGGATCAATTAAACTACTTCGCGGCAGAACTAGCTGGGGAGAATGCTTTTCTAAAAAAGCTCTAGCCTTGCGTAACACATGTTCGCGTGGTCTTGTCGACAGGTGCAGGCACAGACGTGGCCAGTATACGAACGAGGGCGAAGAAGGACGGCGACCATTGGATTCTGAACGGCGAGAAGAGCTGGGTCACGACCGCCGTCGAGGGATCCGCTAATATCATATTCGCGACCTTTGACCCTGAGCTCAAGCACAAAGGAATAGCTTGTGAGTTAAAAACAAATTAAATAAACAATTTCCTTCTTCAAACGAGCCCTGTGGAGAGTATTAAACGGTAGGCAGCGGCTTGGCTCTGCCCCTGGCATTGCTGAAGTCCATGGGCGACGGTAACCACTCACCATCAGGTAGGCCGTATGTTAGTCTGTTAACACGGGGAATAAAAAAAATCACATCAACACTTTTAACTGACAATGATGTGCTGTTGATGGGCTAGTTATTATACTTTTGATTTTTTATTGCCCAGATTTGAGGACCATTACCCACTTGGCGTTAAGTGGTCACCAGTGCTCTAGACATCGACAATCTAAGCGCCGTCATCCACTTTGAGACATGAGTTTTTAGTTCCAGTTTTACAGTATAACGGCTACCCCACCCTTCACACCGAAACGTATTACTGCTTCACGGCAGAAATAGGCAGGGCGGTGGTACCTACCCGCGCGGACTCACAAGAGGTCCTAACACCAGTAATTACGCAAATTATAATTTTGCGGGTTTGATTTTTATTACACGATGTTATTCCTTCACCTTGGAAGCCAATCGTGAGCATTTGTTAAGTACGTATTTCATTAGAAAAATTGGTACCCGCCTGCGGGATTCGAACACCGGTGCATCGCTACATACGAATGCACCGGACGTCTTATCTTTTAGCCCACGACGACTGACAACAAGTCCTACTCGTACCTAAACATTCAATGGTGTTACTATCCCACCATATTTTCAGGTTTCCTTGTCCCTATGGACGTCGATGGCGTATTCAGAGGACGGAAAGAGGCCATAATGAGCGTCAGGTAAATATATTCGGGACATTTCTTTGGAAACATTTTCATACTACGCACGCTATTAATACATTAATTCACTAATTCATAGCTTCGTTGTTAGTCGGCAACTGGGGATGTTCAGTGTGCTTATTGCGAGTTTTTTAACGTTCTCGATAGCGTAAAAGTTAACTCAAATTTGTATGCAATTAGAACAGCGCCCCTAACGGCAAACGCAGGCACATGTTCCAACTGCATCCAAATTTTTTCACTGGTGGTAGGACCTCTTGTGAGTCCGCACGGGTAGGCACCACCGCCCTGCCTATTTCTGCCGTGAAGCAGTAATGCGTTTCGGTTTGAAGGGTGCGGCAGCCGTTGTAACTATACTGAGATCTTAGAACTTATATCTCAAAGTGGGTGGCGCATTTACATTGTAGATGTCTATGGGCTCCAGTAACCACTTAACACCAGGTGGGCTGTGAGTCCACCCATATAAGCAATTAAAAAAAAAAAGTTTACTTTTACGCTATAAGAGCACACAGATAAAGAGTATCCATTGGATTACTGGTGGTAGTCTATTATTTAACGTTAATTAACTAACTATCTGTTATGAGTAACGTGAATGCGTTGGAGACTTTCTAACACGCTATATTTTAGCGATAGAGTAATTGTTGATAATATTATTACGACCGATGCTTTTTTGTCGGGTTCGAACCCCCTAAAGGGAGGGGCAAGGTATGTCAAATTCAAATTCAAATTCAAAATCATTTATTTCAACTTAGATGTCAGTATGACACACTTGTTGAATGTCAAAATACAAATAACAATGTTAACTCTACCACCGGTTCCAAAAAAAGCCACAGTCCTTAGAAGAACCGGCGCAACAAACTCAGTGGGCTTTTTTTTTGTTTTTTCTCAAATATTTTCTTTTTTTTAAATAAATCATAATATTTATTATTTACAATAAAGGAAAAAACAAGTCAAAAAAATACAATTAAAAAATAAATAATAATAATGAAAAATGAAAAGGCCAGGAGGAGCGAGCGCCTCATTCCCACGTAGTGCCATCTAGTAAATAATCCTTAACTTTATAATATGCCTTGTTGCACAAACGTTCCTTAACAGTTTTCTTAAATATGTGAACAGGTAGTAATTGAACGTTTAGTGGGAACTTGTTGAAAAGTTGTACATCCAGCCCCCTAAAAGAGTTGCTTATTTTCTTAATTCGAGCCGCCGGCAACGCAAGCCTATGTTTGTTCCTAGTGTTCACATTGTGCAAATCGCAGACTCTGGGGAATTCTCCAATGTTTTTACGCACGTACAAAAAATTTTCAAAAATGTATTGGGACGCTAAAGTTAGAATTTTGATTTCCTTAAACTTGTCCCCCAAGGATTCCCTCGGGTGCATATTATAAATAACACGAATAGCTCTCTTCTGCAGGATGAAAATCGTTTCGATATCGGCAGCATTGCCCCATAGCAAAATGCCATAGGACATAACACTATGAAAATAACTAAAATAAACCAGGCGTGCCGTATCTTCATTGGTATAGATGCGAAACACAAATAAGGCTCCCGGTTCCGACGGTATATCCAACCGCGTTATTAAACTTCTACCCGTCCAACTCATCGTGATGTTGGCATCTATTTTCAATGCCGCTATGGCGAACTGTATCTTTCCCGCGGTGTGGAAAGAAGCGGACGTTATCGGCATACATAAACCCGGTAAACCAAAAAATCATCCGACGAGCTACCGCCCGATTAGCCTCCTCATGTCTCTAGGCAAACTGTATGAGCGTCTGCTCTACAAACGCCTCAGAGACTTCGTCTCATCCAAGGGCATTCTCATCGATGAACAATTCGGATTCCGTACAAATCACTCATGCGTTCAACAGGTGCACCGCCTCACGGAGCACATTCTTGTGGGGCTTAATCGACCAAAACCGTTANCGCCCTGCCTATTTCTGCCGTGAAGCAGTAACGCGTTACGGTTTGAAGGGTGGAGCAGCCGTTGTAACTATACTGAGATCTTAGAACTTATATCTCAAGGTGGGTGGCTCATTTACGTTGTAGATGTCCATGGGCTCCAGTAACCACTTAACACCAGGTGGGCTGTGAGCTCTTCCGCCCATTTAAGCAATAAAAAAATAACATCGAATTCTTGATACCAATACCAAACAAAAGGGTCCTTTAATTACAAAGATACCTAAATGTCGCTTAAGTGAAATGTCGCTTTCACCACACGATATGATTACTCGAACTTATCAAATATCTATATATTAATACGTGAAGCAAAAACTTTGTATCCCTTTTTACGAAAATTGCGCGGACGGAGGAGTATGAAATTTTCCACACTTATCTATATCTATACTAATATTATAAAGAGGAAAGATTTGTTTGTTTGTTTGTTTCGAATAGGCTCCGAAACTACTGGACCGATTTGAAAAATTCTTTTTCCATTAGAAGCCGACATTGTCCCTGATGAACATAGGCTACTTTTTTTTATTTTTTTTTTATTTATTTTTTTTGGTTTCATGTGTGTTTTAATGTTTCCGAAGCGAAGCGAGGGCGGGTCGCTATAGAGAATATAGAGAAGAAGCGCACAATGCTAATATTTTTTTAAAATAATGCATAAAAGATACTTTAAATCGATAAAGAAAACATTACACACACTACATACCATGTATTTGACGCACACACGCATGCATACTATTTATTGTCAAACTTTTGTTCTTGACGTTTGTGGTCATATTGAGAATAAATTAAATATTTTTTGTCTTTATTAATATTTTTTATAGTGTAGTCTTGGCGAGATTTGTGATTATAGAAGTATAAAATACAATAATAATAGTGTACAAACTTACAATTCCAATTAATTATAGTCGAATTTCGACTACTGTGGGACCTCTAGTCAAATATAATTTTGTGAGCACGCCAGCACCGTCGACACTGAACAGACGTTACATAAATAAAAACGATTCAACAAACAAAAGGAGCTCATAAAATAGAATTGAAGCGCTTGTTCTAGGGCCGTGACGTCATGCGCCCTGACCCTCGAAGACGTGAGGGTGCCGCAGAGCTACCTGGTCGGGGAGCCGGGCGAAGGGTTCAAGATCGCCATGGAGCAGCTGGACCAGGGACGGATCGGGATCGCCGCCCACGCTGTGGGTCAGTAGTCTCTGATGCATCTCATCGCAGATTCAGCGGAGGCAGCGGCTTGGCTCTGCCCCTGGCATTGCTGAAGTCCATGGGCGACGGTAACCACTCACCATCAGGTGGGCCGTATGCTCGTCTGTCTACAAGGGCAATAAAAAAAAAAGAATCTCACTGCAATATGACGTCATAGTGTGTTTAATCCCTTTGGATTCGAAGTCATTTATTGACGTTAGTGACGTAATGTTGTAATATATTTTATTTATAAAAATGAATGATTCATTGTAAACACAAGCGGTTAACGAAAATGAAACTAAAATCCAAGTTTTCTCGGTAATAATTTTAACGAACAAAATATTGTTCTCATGTACTTGGCGATAAACCGAACATTCTTAGAAAAATAATACAGTATTGGTTTTGTTTCTTCATCTACTAGGCTGTACGGTTCACTTTAGTAACTATTTACTCTGAGGCCGCGAACCTGCGAACCCGCTGCCTGAACAGTCGGGTACAGTTGGGTAAAGTCAGGTATTTTTATTGGTGGTAAGACCTCTTATGAGTCCACGCGGGTAAGTACCACTTCCCTGCCTATTTCTGCCGTGAAGCAATAATGCGTTTCGGCTTAAAGGGTGGCGCAGCCGTTGTAACTATACTTGAGACCTTAGAACTTATATCTCAAGGTGGGTGACGCATTTACGTTGTAGATGTCTATGGGGTCCAGTAACCACTTGACACCAGGTGGGCTGTGAGCTCGTCCACCCATCAAAACAATAAAAAAAAGTACAGTCGAGTACAATCGAAGTAGTGCTATTATTTTTTTTTCTTTTAGGAATAGCACAGGCGGCTCTGGACACCGCGATCAATTACGCCAAAGAGAGACAGGCGTTTGGGAAGCCCCTCTCCCGGTTGCCTTCTGTCAAGGTAAAGAGCACATAAGTTACCGCCGTTTACTTTTAAATCTTAAACATTGTTCCTTTTAGTTGATCCAATTCGATCTTCGATTTGAAGTCGTCATGGCCTAAAGTATAAGACGGCCGGTGCATTCGTATCGAATGATCCGACTGGGCCCGTGTTCGGATCTCGCGGAAGGTGTCAATTTTCTTAATGAAATATTATGTTCTTTAGGCATGTTCACGATGTGTGCTTAATAAAAAGCTAACCCGAAATTAATATAATTTGCGTTATAACTGGTAAGTCTGCACGGGTAGGTACCACCACTCTGCCTGTTTCTGCCGCGAATCATTAATATGTTACGGTTTGTAGGGCGGGGCAGTTGTTGTACTATAAAAACTGAGACTCAGAACTTCAGAAATCATTTAAAACCGGGTGAGCTGTGGGCTCGGATTTAAGTATAAATAAAAATCGTTATGCGTAATGTTTACAGGGCTCTGATTACCATCTAACACAACTCGGTAGTATTATCTCCTGCAGTATTAGAGAATTTGAATCGAATGTCTTTCGAAATATTTTTTTTTTATTATTGCATAGACGGGTGGACGAGCTCACAGCCCACCTGGTGTTAAGTGGTTACTGAAGCACATAGACATTTACAACGTAAATGCGCCACACACCTTGAGATGAGTTCTAAGGTCTCAGTATAGTTATAACGGCTGCCCCACCCTTCAAGCCGAAACGCAGTACTGCTTCACGGCAGAAATAGGCAGGGTGGTGGTAACCACCCGCGCGGACTCACATGAGGTCCTACAACCAGTAATTACGCAAATATTTTTTTTAACGATCACGCCACGATAACTGGTCCCGTGATAAGTTCGTAAAGAACTTGTGTTACAGGTACCAGATAACGGAAATAAATGTAAGATTTTTATTATACACATACATATATATAATATACATCCATAACCCTGGAAAATACATTTTTTATATTTAACATACAAATATTTTCCCTTGGCGGGATTCGAACCCGCGACCCCCTTGTGTAGTGACCCATGTCACTTACCACTACACCAGACGGCCGTTTAATTATGCGGGTTTTGATTGAAGACACATTTTCCCAGGATCGTTTGACGGACATGTGCATACTGGTGGAGACGGCTCGGCTGGCGACGTACAGGGCGGCGACCGAGGTCAGCACCAAGAACAGCGCCATGGCGAAGTACATCGCGGGCCGGAACGCGGCCGCCGTGGCCGACCACTGCGTGCAGATCTTGGGGGGCAAGGGACTCTCCACACGATACTCGGCTGAGAGACATTACAGGTGATTCTCATTCGAAAATGATTCTCTAAGCCCAAGCATAAGGTCGAATTTGGTTCGTGCAAAATACGCTTTCATACGAATTCGGCTGGATATTTCTTCTTCGGGATTTAAAGATGTTCCTGCGTATTGCGCATTAACAAATACAGTGGTCTTATCTATGTTTGGCCCACATAACTTAAACTTTTTATTATTACGTTTCATATGGAATCTTTTTTTTTTATATTTTATACTTTATCTTCTCTATCAGCTTCAAGTTTTGTTATGAAGATCAGAAGAAATCCATTTTATTAAATACTAGTAATTCCCTTAAAAAGAATATATATTCCATCACACTACCATTTGTATTTTTTGACAGTTTTCTTAACATAGTTATTTTTTTGAAGAATAGAAACAGTCGAGTTTTTGCCATTCTAAAAAAATTATGTAAATTCTTTCATAACAGGCTTAAGATATGTTAATTATCTTTAATTAATTTTAATAATTTTAGCAACTTTAATTTTAATAAATTTAAATGAAAAAATTAAGTTATTTATTGTAACTTTTTTTTTCATAAACAGGGATGCCAGAGGTACTCAAATATACGGAGGAGTCACGGACATACAGAAGCGTCTAGTTGGTCACTTCCTCCTGAAAGAGCACGACGCGCTATGATCGACTAGTGACGACCCACACCCTAGTCTTATCGATAAAATAATATATCGATACCAGTAAAATTTTAACTTCGCAAACTACGTTTTGAAATGTGATAATCGTTTGTGGCTTAGAGATGTGAAATAAATTAATAAATTAATTAATATAATAAATTAGAAGCTGTTGTGACGGTGTCGATAATTTTCAAGTGAATAAGACTGTTACGTTTAGTGCGCAAACAAAACTATAATGCATTTAATGACACTTAATTTATTGTATCTTGAGTCGGATGAACGATAATTTTGTGCTTAATAAAAATCAAACATAAGGCTTAACCCTATTAGTAATTTTAACAGAATATAAATTATTATTTTTAATCCTTTAGTATTATTTCGTGTTCTGCTTCTTTGAATCCCACTGTTTAATTTTCGCCGTATTAATGTATTTGAAATAGTGTAAATGTGCTCATTTCTTTTGTTAAAGCGCCACCTATAATTGCTCATTAGAAAACTGTTTTAGAGTTAAGAAACTTTTGAATTTTTAACAGCGCCATCTACCGACAGCCTCAGAAAGTTAAAAGTAATTGTATTTTGAAAATATTCTTTTAACGTTTATTATCATCGACTTTTTGGATATTTTATAGTTTTCAAGAATAAATAAGAAATCAATTGTATTATTTATTATTAAATTTATAAATCATTCCATGTTTAAAAACTTGAGCACTATTAATCTTGTAAACAGTAAGTACAGGGTATATATATGTCGCAGGCAATTTGTATGATTCCGCCGTTTACAAACGGCGTCGTCATTATAAAAACGCTCGCCGTTATGTAAAATGCCGAAGGCAAAATGATAACTCGTTCAATTGTTACAATTTCGACATTGGTTGTAGTTTTAGGGTGACCATAATAAAATGTAGTTTATAATAATCAGAGTTTATTTCCGCAATCAAGTACTAATGAAGATTTCAAGTAAGACTAAATTATGTGCTTTGATTCTCTTGAAGTACTTGCCTAGTTAAAATATTTAAATAACATAACAAAATTTAAATGACAATAATAAAACTTCTAAGGATAATATGACACTTTCAAATAAAAACAAACAGGTAATTTATGTAAAATCATATTTTGTAGTCTGAAGTATTCATCATTCTTAGAAGACATTTCCCTAAATTAGTAAATGAAGATTATTAAAAAAATAAACGTTTCTTGATTTATTTTTAAATAAAAAGTAACAAAAGTAACAATAAAAATGTAAATTACTTATTTGCGCATGTCCCATTTCATGACTAAAAACACCAAGGCATTATAATATTTAAGTTACAAAGCAGATAAATTGACATAACGATACGAATAAATCGATCGCTTTTCTCTCAATAGTAAATCTATCCTTCATTTGATACTGAATTTTGTCTCGACCACCATGTCTGTAACCTCTATGAATCTCTAACAATACATCGTAATATTCTTCTAACGGTATTACACGAACGGTTGGACTGCCAAGGCTATTCCTTTTTAAATAAGGTAGTCCAATTCACTGATGCTCATAGCCTCGTATTTTTTTGACCTGCAGGAGTACTCCGGGAACCAGATTCTGTGGCCACCTTAGCATTTTTTAGGTGCCGGATAACCTCAAAAATTTTACTATTTGTCCAAAGCTTTTTTAAAGCTTCCGTTTGAGAATGGTATAATTTTTTTAATTCACTATAATATAAAGCTTCAAAATCAGAAATATTTTCTAAAATGTCTTCTCCACACGAAATATTTGTAGTTTTCAGTTATTTTTTGAGACACAAAATGACGCCATTGTTATTGTTTTGATCAACAGTGGCGCGCGTGGTAAAAAAAATGAACTAAATACTTCAATTTGCCGCGGCATTATGAAAACGGCGTTTGAATTGTCGATGTTATGTTGTGGCATATTATAAAGTGACACGGCAATATACATTTTGCCTTCGGCATTTTACATAACGGCGAGCGTTTTTATAATGACGACGCCGTTTGTAAACGGCGGAATCATACAAATTGCCTGCGACATATACATAGTGAAAAATGATAAGTTTCTTCCGAATTTACCTAAAATTGTTCTACTTTAAACTATGTGCGTATAATGTGCCAAGCTTTTATTGTATTAAAATAAATATTATCTATAAACAGTGAACTTCTATTAATGTAAATTGAAATTAAATTTCCCCAGAATTTCATTTTATTAATTTTTCCTATATATGTACCTATAAACATATCTACATGTAATTTATGAGGAATATATTCTGTCGTATTCCATTGTTGTTTTATAAATAAATAAATAAATAAATATATTTTTGTATGTAAAAACACAAAAACTTTTTTCTAGGTGAAACGATCTTGATGATTCTTTTTTTTATTTGAAAACTAGTGCTTCTCATGTGGTCCAATGTAAATCAAAATCTGACCAGTAACTTTTTAAGCTATCCTGAATTTTTTTTGACTTCTACTAGCTTGATGATATTGAATTGTTCAGACTGGAGTTCTTTTTTGTTAAAGTTTTCTGCTATACTTTTTTTTAACATGGGCACCTCAAATAGATATCACGACAACTGTCATTGAGACATGAGAAGGAAAGCTCATTTGGAAAACACCCTTCAAACTCGTACTCACCTTACACACCATTGCTTCGTTACAAATATGCAAAATGCTCTTTCTTTTTTCTTAACTGGACCTTTGAGGTCTTAATAATACATTGGAACAAAAAAAAACATTAGGATTAGCTTAAAATAATAAAAAACGGTGCAGGTGCAACTTGGTGCACTTGAATGAAGTGAAACTTCTTTTTCGATGTTGTAGTATTGTGGTTTTCTTCATTTTTCATCCTTAAATCAGATTGCTCTTGTAATTGGGAATGCTGTGTATAAGAGATGCGACATCTTCAACATTTATATTATATATATTTTAAATTATAGATAAAAAAATAAATATATATATAGTAAATAAACATTTTTAAATAGATACTTCATTAAAATATTGGACGCTACTCATTGCTAACGCTCGCGCTGGCCTGTAACAGGTATACTACGCGCATGGGTATAGTAACCGGCAAACTTCTTGAGCAAATGACCTTGACTGCGCAGAACCGAATTTTAGATCACTTTGGTGGTGAGGGTGAGGCGCGACGGCAGAGGAAATCGTATCGAGCGCGTTATTGGTAGATCAGTCGAACCCTGCGTCCCGCACCGCGCCCTCTTTCCGCTTGCTCCCAAAAGTACGCTTGCGTACAGTAAAAAGTCTATCGTTATTAATCGTTAAGTTATTTGTTATAATTGCTTGTTGACTTTGTTGCCATTGCTATATGTTGTGTGTTTGTTGATTTTTTATAATAAATACACTATGCCGCGACAAACTGGTGTAGTATTCAAAAGAAAGGGTACAAAAATTGTGTACGACGTATATTGCTTCATTATAAAACAGGGGAAGAATGATATGGAAAAAGTAAAACAGACTTCGGAAGCAAGAAAAACATCAGTGAGTACTGTTAGGTGCATTATTAACGAAGCTAAAGGCTCTGGCTTGCTCGCCGGTAAGAAAAGATCAGGAAAGAAGAAAGTTACCGGAATGGATAGTTTCGTTCAATCTGTAATAAAAAGATGTAATCATAATAACTACATAACAAGCAGCGAAACTCCGTATCGTAGAAAGGCTTCGAAAAATTTAAAGAAGATATAAATTTTAATGGCTCGGAATGAAGCTTACGACGAATTATGAAAGAGCTAGGCTTCAGATGGAAAAAAAAAACAGAAAGTAATCGGAAGCTGGTAATTGAAAAAAGTAACATTCGATTAATACGAATCGCATATCTTCAAAAAATAATTAATTATAGACAAAAAAGAAGATCGAACCGACCGAGTTGTAAACTACACCGATGAGCCCTATGTCGACTTATCACGATGATAGCGACTCGGGTGATGAAAACAGTGATGATGATGATGGTCAAGATTATTATTATTATTAATGCTTTATTTCAGTTTTTTTTTTTTTAAAACCGTAACATTTTGTTAGTAATAATTACTTATAATCTATGTTAGTAACTTAAAAAATCTAACACATAACTATCATTATATACATTTTATACCATTATATATATATATATACGACACTTGAAAGGCAAACGTGACTAAGCGACAATGCGTGAATTTTACAGTTGACTAATTTAAAGTTGAAATACCTGAAAACAAAATTTATTTTAATGAATCTAGCTGTAGTAGAATCTAGCTAGTAGCTGTAGGATTGAAATTATTTTAATAGACCTAGAAATATATTTTTGCGCATCGAATATGGGTATTACCTATAATTTATGTACAAAGCAGTTATTGTCGCTTAGTCATGTTTGCCTTTCAAGCGTCGATATATATTTTTTTTTTCTCCTTCCAAGTGCCTACTGCAAAGGCTATTGATCAGCAGTCCCTCGATCTTGCTCGATATGATTCTCAAAAGACTGTTGCCACTGTCACGAACTCGACGCAATAACGATGCACTTCTCTTCCGCATTATTGCAAAGAAGTCATCGGTGTGAGATGTCGCAAACATTGTGGATGCACTACAAAAGCGCGGCAGTGACAACATCATCCTAAACGCATTATTATATTGGACACGTAGGGCATTGTAAGCTCTCCGCGTGTATGTGGTCCACAGACTACTGGCGTAAAAATTCTGGCAATAAGCTTTAAAAATTGTAAGTTTGACATAGCTATCGCAACCAGTAAATCTGCGGGCCAGCATATTGTATCTTACTATCAACGCCCTACGCTCCCTATCTATATCACAATCATCCGTACCATCCTCTGTTACCCAGTGACCGAGGTACTTGAAGCGCTTGACTTGTGTAAGCGTTGCGCCTGCTAGCCAGATTGGAGGTACGTTCTCGTAAGTTTTGTTCTGCGCTTTGAACACTAGCAGTTCACTCTTCTTGGCATTGTACCTCAGCCCGTGGGACTCAGCATATAATATTATGATAACGAAAAAAAAATTACAATTACAAATACCAGCTTCGCTTCAACTGAACCAAGACCTGGCAACAGCTCTAGTTTTGACTTAATAGAAGGAATATCTATTTTACCCCAAGATTAAATTATTACAATTATTAACCTATATTTTTTGTTGATGTTCTAATAAATATATAAATAAATACATAATATGTTGATTTTAATAATTTAATAGCATTATGACGCAGAGTAAATAATGTTTTTGCACGTGAGTGTACCATGCGCGAACTTACCCCCACTACGTCGACAAATGCTCAAGAAGTTTGCCGGCTATTATACGAGTGCCACGCATTCACTCTCACTCTGTCTCTTTCTAGTATGGTAGCGTTAAACGTTTAACAGAACCTTGTTGGAAGTCGTATTAGAAGTTTCACTTCAATTAAATACAACAAACACCTTCGTCTTGTCCTTATCCCATTGTATGCAGTCAGCGCAGTATGTCCTTTTATCATTCAGCATCGGGATTTGGCATGAGTTCTACCACCGGCTGCCATTCTGACGTCAATTCAAGGAGGGTTATATCTCTAGTAGTATATCCATTGCAACGTACCATAGGGAGGGACGTTACGTTTCATACGTTTCATATTATGATGTTTCTTTTTCGTTCTATGATTTCAATTTTATAATTATAAAAATCTATAGAAAAAATTTACAATTACATATAATAACAAGAAACATCTACANCTCAAAAGACTGTTGCCACTGTCACGAACTCGACGCAATAACGATGCACTTCTCTTCCGCATTATTGCAAAGAAGTCATCGGTGTGAGATGTCGCAAACATTGTGGATGCACTACAAAAGCGCGGCAGTGACAACATCATCCTAAACGCATTATTATATTGGACACGTAGGGCATTGTAAGCTCTCCGCGTGTATGTGGTCCACAGACTACTGGCGTAAAAATTCTGGCAATAAGCTTTAAAAATTGTAAGTTTGACATAGCTATCGCAACCAGTAAATCTGCGGGCCAGCATATTGTATCTTACTATCAACGCCCTACGCTCCCTATCTATATCACAATCATCCGTACCATCCTCTGTTACCCAGTGACCGAGGTACTTGAAGCGCTTGACTTGTGTAAGCGTTGCGCCTGCTAGCCAGATTGGAGGTACGTTCTCGTAAGTTTTGTTCTGCGCTTTGAACACTAGCAGTTCACTCTTCTTGGCATTGTACCTCAGCCCGTGGGACTCAGCATATAATATTATGATAACGAAAAAAAAATTACAATTACAAATACCAGCTTCGCTTCAACTGAACCAAGACCTGGCAACAGCTCTAGTTTTGACTTAATAGAAGGAATATCTATTTTACCCCAAGATTAAATTATTACAATTATTAACCTATATTTTTTGTTGATGTTCTAATAAATATATAAATAAATACATAATATGTTGATTTTAATAATTTAATAGCATTATGACGCAGAGTAAATAATGTTTTTGCACGTGAGTGTACCATGCGCGAACTTACCCCCACTACGTCGACAAATGCTCAAGAAGTTTGCCGGCTATTATACGAGTGCCACGCATTCACTCTCACTCTGTCTCTTTCTAGTATGGTAGCGTTAAACGTTTAACAGAACCTTGTTGGAAGTCGTATTAGAAGTTTCACTTCAATTAAATACAACAAACACCTTCGTCTTGTCCTTATCCCATTGTATGCAGTCAGCGCAGTATGTCCTTTTATCATTCAGCATCGGGATTTGGCATGAGTTCTACCACCGGCTGCCATTCTGACGTCAATTCAAGGAGGGTTATATCTCTAGTAGTATATCCATTGCAACGTACCATAGGGAGGGACGTTACGTTTCATACGTTTCATATTATGATGTTTCTTTTTCGTTCTATGATTTCAATTTTATAATTATAAAAATCTATAGAAAAAATTTACAATTACATATAATAACAAGAAACATCTACAGTATCCTTATTGTGAGTTTATTAACAGCAGCCCTAGTGGCAAACGTAAGCAAACGTTCCAACTCCATACAAATTTGAGTAATTTTATATTTTTTTTTTTATTGCTTAGGTGAGTGGACGAGCTCACAGCCCACCTGGTGTTAAGTGGTTACTGGAGCCCATAGACATCTACAACGTAAATGCGCCACCCACCTTGAGATATAAGTTCTAAGGTCTCAATTATAGTTACAACGGCTGCCCCACCCTTCAAACCGGAAACGCATTACTGCTTCACGCAGGATGCGGACTCACAAGAGGTCCTACCACCAGTAGGCAATATCGGGTATTATAAAAGCCTTTATTCTTTAATATTTTAGCTGAACTTTGAAAAACGCTCATTGATTCTAGTTCTAGATTGCTTTAAGCTATGGGCTCGGTCATGGTAATTTCGTATTTAATTTTGTAATGTGTATGCGCGTGTGTTTGTTTTTTTTATTATACAAGCAATCAATAAGCGGCAGCGATANTCCGTTAGGCCACGACAACAAAGTGAGTGAGTTAATGAGTACCTACACGTGCGGACTCACAAGAGCTCCTACCACCAGTAAACTGAATTTCTCGTTACGGCTTAGTGTCTTTCGGGAAAACGGGCAAAATGAGAACACGTTACCGTCTCCTGCCCCGTGCCAAATTCATCATTAAAAGACCCTGTCAGATCTACGAGGAGGACCGAGCGAAATAGATAGACTATTGAAATGAATACATTCCGCGTGCAAATTCTGAGATACAAACAACGAGCCGACAAGATTAAATTACTCTATATCCGTTGTATCGTTTTTGCGGTCGGTCAATTGTTACGTCACACAGAACTTGGAGCATTTCAAACCGGCTAGTTTTAAAACAAGAAAATAATATATTATGTTTTTAATCGACAAGTGTTCTTTCTCAAAACAGAATTAAGTTTGAACGCAGCTTCTGTGATATCAATGAAGTGGTCTGAAGTCAAAATTTAAATAAATTAGTTCGGTTCGAAACATAACCCAAACGGAGCATTGTTCGAAACCACCATTTTCGTTATTATCTAAAGCATTGTTAATTAACCTCGTTTTTTAATACAGCAATAGTATAAAGTAATATTTTGTAAATGATATCTTTAAAATTCTCTGCTTCGTTCATACATTACCCACAATATTATATTTTTGACTTTTGTTGACCAATGAATTCGTTTACTCATTTAGTATTGTTATTTATGTGGATTTCATTACCATTTACACAGTTATTGTTGCCCATTCAATTATTACAAGAGCCGTAACGAGAGATTCAGTTATCACCTAAGCTTACATTACCAAACCACTTTTTTTTTTACAGCAGTATATCTCTATGTGGGAGTTGGACCTTACTAAAAACTCCTGCCGCTTATAGCCGGCGTCCTACCCCGGACTTTGCCGGAGCCCAGTCAGTGCTATTGAAATGGCGGGACAGGGCTTACGCAGAGCATATTACATCCATCCCAATGTTCCCCAAGCGCTGGACCGGCCGCTGGTGACACGACCACAGGTCCCTCGGTCGACGGGCCAGGAGCCCGCCTTGATGGCGCCACGCTGCACCTTCCCACAGAGCGTTCGGGGGAAAGCGGCCTACCGTCACCCCAAGTGCTATTACGGGCGAGCACGCCGCCCCACGCATGGGTCCCTCCCCGGATAAAGCGCGTGGAGCCCGAAGCTCTTAGGGGGCCGGGTCACGGACGTGACCCCGGTCTCGACCTCCTACTCGGCGGCGGCGGATTTCTGCGTAGTGACGAGAGCTTTGCCTCACTCACCTTACCACTTCCTTTCGCAAAATGGTGCAAAATACATAAAAACATACATCATTTTAATCGCCTTTAAAAAGTAAATACGAAATTTACAGTTTGGGACGAAAGTTTTTTCAGCTTTTGTACATTTCCCTAAGACAGCTTTAGAAAACTTGATTAAAGAAATATCTAATTATTTACGAATATTGTTTGTGAAACCTCATTTCTAATAATATTACCGAATGCTATTTCGGTAAAGCACCTTTCGGTCCAAGGTTTTAAGTCCATCTTTAGGCGTAACAGTTCTAGCTTAGTAATTTGATTTGCAGAAAAGGAAATATTACGCAATTCTCCACCCACGCGTCTAATATCATTGGACATTTATTTGAAAAAAAAAATCCGAAAAAATTAAGTGAATCACTTTCCTAGTTGTATCTGTCAGTTATTTTATAACTCAACTTTACTATGAGCATGAGCAAAGGAAATTGATTTTGACTGATAAAAACTAAAAAAGAAAAACTGTCTGGTAAGATTTTGTGTATAGATTATTTTTTACTGTAAAAGGATTACAAAGTTATATCGTTGAACGAAATGAATCACACACAAGCTCACTAATCCAGTTCAATCTAGGCCCTACGTCATTTTCAGCAATGTACACACACCTCATCAAAGATAATATTAGATAACGCATATCACTCCACCTCGAATACTGAACGAAAGCAGTTGTGACACGAGTGCATAGAAAAATGCTTCTAAAATATTTTTTGAGTTTTTTATTTTTATTCAAACACGTAATCGGCCAGGACGAATTGGTGACTGAATCCGTATTGAATTTGAAACAAGTGTGCGATTATTGTACGTGCAGTGAGATATCGGATATAGAGAGTTCGCATTTAGTGTTGAACATATTGTGTTCGGAGTTTGACAGGACCGCGGAACTGTCCGATCTGGACAAAATCGCTTGGCCTCCAAATCCGAACGGACTGAAGATATCCGCTTCGTTTGAAGGGATCGGACTCAGTACACTTGGCAAGTATGTTTTTAATCTATTTTTATTTTGCACGTTTTTTTTTTATATGGGCACAGAAATAATACACATAAGGCACATAACAAAACAGTGGAAAAAATGTTTTTTTTCAGTAATAATAAACTACTTAGTTTAATAAATTTTTACGTTTCCATCTACGTTGTAAATTGAAATATAATTTAACGATTATTGTTTGATCACCTTGAATATTATCTCATGATGACAAAGGTGTAATGATACTGCGCTCTAAAGGGCAATCACTATGTACATTAGCGTCCTATCTTAATCTTAATTGTGTACCTACACTGTGGGTGTTTTGGGGAAACCTTAGGAAAAAATTAATCGGTTTGTACTGTCTAGCGTGTGATTCTACGTTTGTCTGAGAATGTTTACTTCGTATTAAATATCAAATCATGTCGCAGTGATTTTATTTGAATTAAATTAAAGTAATATTCGTTATGTTTAGCTTTGAGCTACTTTTTTGTGAAAAGACACAGGCCCTTGTCCCTCATCGATTTTGAGCAAAAAGGTCGATGCCGAATACCATGCACTCCCATGAGCACTAACGAGCCATTTTAATAGAGCTAAGCATCCTAGAAAGACACTCTGTCATCTGCCAAGAGCGTGTTATGAGCTTCTTCGGACACATCATGCGGTTTCCCAGACGTGAACTAGAGAAGCTCATAATTTCGAGTTGCATTGAGGGCAAGCGCACCGTGGGCAGAACACTAGTCAGATGGTCAGATCTGGTTAAGCAAGCAGTTAGTGGTAGTCTGTACCATACGGACCATGCCATGCATGATCCAACATTGTGGATGAAAGTCACATGTGGTCGCGATACTGAGCAGTGAGGGAACGATGAAGAAGAAGAATAAAGCCCATTAGATCTTAACGCGGGATTGCTTTGCTGCACGAATAGCCAGAACTGTGGCGCCAAACCACGCGAGCCCAAAGCATATTTAAACGGAAATTTGAGACAAATTTTATATTAAAATAATAATGAAATTGCGAGACCAATTATAAAACGACATATACATAGGTATATATCATAAGACAAATTATAAAATCAACTATATAATTAATTATGGTCGGTCTTTTCCTTATTTTGGTAAATTGACATTTTCAGTCGTACCCATTTTGAGCTTTCAATCGTACATAGCATAAATCCCAATGAAATCGAAATAAAAGCTCAATGAATTCCTTCTATTATGCTTTCTTTGCTGTTAAGATGGCACCAGGATATCAGAATGGCTATAATAATGGTTTTCATAATACCCGTAGTTTCATCAAAGAATCTATAAAGATACATTTTCCTGTAAATGTCGATCTATACTTATAGGTATCTCAAATGCTATTTTAAAACTCAAGTCTTTTCAGTGAGACATGACAGATAGTTTGTGGGTCATTAACCTAGAATATTATTTAAAAAAATAAATCTAAATATACTTAGCTCTGCATCATTATCAAAAACAAACACATTGTTTCTGTTTGTGTAATTTACGTAAATGGATTGTGCAAACTGTACTTTCACGCGTATAGATTAGATTGTGAATAGTATTAATTAATTGAAAATGAAAAATCAATTATTAAAAAAAAAATTACTATTAAACACAAGCGAGACTTCAATCTTCTGTAACTTCGACTCCGCTAAACACTTAACACCAGATGGGTTCGTTTACCTAACGATATTTTTTATCATAGGTAATCGATAAATTCATTCAATCAATAAAACGTATTATTTCGAAATTCACTATCAACTTTGTAATCGAGCTGTTTGTATTCTATCTAGCCTTATCAGGATATTTATTTCGTACAGTTCAATGGAAAAGACAAGTATGAGTAATAGTAATTAATTCAACAATGAATGACAGTGAATTGGATCTAAGTAATTTTTTGGAAATTTCAGTTTATCGCATCCTTACAACAAAAACACTGTATTCAAAACGGAAGCAATACGGAACGCAGTCTTTTGCGTTTCTAAAAATACTAGGAATTCGGTACATGCGAAATGGCTGTTTAGTATACAGACAGCTTGTAATGTTTTCTATCAAATATGTTATTGCTATTAATTATTAAATGCTTTTATGGTATCGATGCGTCTCTGCCGGCGCAGTGGTAATTTTTCAATCCATTTCTTGAAGAATTCAGGTGTACGGAAGCAAAAATACTCATCACAATTATTTTGTGTAATTGGGTATTAATTTTCTTCCTTACCAAGAAGTAGTGCAAACTTTGGAAAAAATTGAACTCCATCAGCACAAGATCTAACAAAGTCAAGGAGTGCGGTGGTGACGCAAAACTTCCAGCTTGTTAAGATTATAGTAGCTTAGAGACCGTCTGTTGTGCTGTATGAGGTCGAACGTTATCATGTAAGGGCAGAACTGGTGGTAGGACCTCTTGTATGTAGGTACCATCACCCCGTCTATTTCTGCCGTGAAGCAGTAATGCGTTTCGGTTTCAAGGGTGGGGCAGCCGTTGTAACTATACTTGAGACCTTAGAACTTATATCTCAAGGTGGGTGGCGCATTTGCGTCCAAGAGCTCGTCCACCCATCTAAGCTATAAAAAAATAAGAATGGACGAGCGATGAACCATGGATGGTTGGAGGTTCACGAGTTCTCCATCATTGTGTCTAGTTCTTCACAATACATATCCTCAATAACGCTGGTACTTATACCGGCACTAGACCACCAAACAGTGAACATGACTTTTTGGGGTAAGATTTCGTTTGAGTTGTTGCCGAGGCACTCCTCCAGGATCTAAGCAACATGATGACTGTTTGCGATTATCAATAAAAATCCATTTGTCATCGCAAATGACGCGATGACGATGCGGTTCAAAATCCCTTTGTTCCTGTGTCGGTTAAACAACGCAAGGCAAGTTTTAACGTGTTCGTCGGGCTGGCGAACATTTAGTTTGTGTTGTAGGTATCCGTTCATCAAAGTTTTATACCTTGCCCATTTGATTCAAATGAACGAATATTATTTTGATGCTAGCGTTGAAAGCTGCTGCTTACTCCCGGTAACTACATTCCCGGTCCTGCGGAAAGAATGGAAAGCAGTCGACGTCGCCCAAAACACGTCATTTCGGATCCTCCCGATCCACTAACGGTGCTTTCAGGTACCTCAAGCACCGGTCACCGTTCCCATCGAACCCGTCGCTTGCGACGAAGGGCTCGACGAGTAAATTAACCTACAGACACAGCCCACTGAGTTTCTCGACGGATCTTCTCAGTGGGTCGCGTTTCCGATCCGGTGGTAGATTCTGCGAAGCACGGCTCTTGCTAGTTCGTGTTAGCAACGTCGTCAGGTTTGAGCCCCGTGAGCTCACCTACTAGTTAAGGTTACGCTGAAGTAGCCTCTCAAGGCTTATCAGCTTAGGTAGGAAAATAAAAAAAAGTTGTTTACTCAGCGGTAGATTGGTATCGTCAGCTTACACTATCGCCTTTAATTCGTCATCGTTGTTGACTTAAGTTTTCGGACGACCACAGGGCTCATTTCGTAAACCATAATTTCCATGTCGAAAGCGTTTAAACCAATAAAGAGTCTTACGCTCGTTTGTAGTGTTCACATTAATGCTGTGAGCCGTTTGAGCGGCATTGCCACCGCAACGGAACTTGTGTTTCATAATTACTCATATTTTCACCGTATCTATACTTATCAAAAAGATAAAAATGCAGTGAAAACAGAATACTAGTAAACATAAACAAATAATTGAATCTGAGAATAAATCTTCATATTTTTTAAGTAAAATTATTTGGAATTTAGAATTTATTGCCAGCCATCCATAATTTACGTTTCAATGGCCATCATTGTAAGACGGCAACAGCATAGGTAAAGACCTATTATTACCTGGTACTAGGTATAATAATCTGGTATTAATCTTTATCATCATTTATTTAGTACTTACCTACTAGATGACCCGGCAGACTTGTGCCTCAATCGATAAATAAAAGATCTAAACTTTTGTATAAAATAAACTTAAAACAAACAAAAGGAATCCGTCCGACGGGGGACACATCAAAGGAAAAACAAAATTGTTATTATTATTTAATTCCGAGCATTTTCATATTTATCTACCTTTTAAACCTTCCCTGGACTTCCACAAATAATTCAAGACCAAATTTAGCCTAATCGGTCTAGCCGTTCTCGAGTTTTAGCGAGACTAACGAACAGCGATTCATTTTTATATAGGTATATAGAAGATATAAATATATATATAGATAGATATAAATAGATAGATTCATCAATGTTAACATTTTGATGTATGTAGGTATTCTATTAAAAAGCTTCAGACATTGCGAAGCTTGTGTTATTACAATTTTCATCTTCAAGTGTGACAGTAATTAAAGGTCATTATCCCTTTTATCGCTAGAGACATTTTATCTTGTCATCCATCAGTGTCTTGAGGATGTCAGTTCGCGAATCATCTCGCAGGAAATGACCGAGATCCGCTATCATGTAGCTGATGCTAAGAACAAATAAAATAATATCACGAGTAGGTCTTTAAAAAAAACGTTTATATCTGCGGCCTGTTTTTGAGGTTTTATATTACATAGCTCCTGATGTATCCAAAGTACAAGCTTACAATCAGTAAATGCATTGGAAAATACAATGTCGAATCTGCGAATTTCATTGCATTATTAGAAGCTACCTGACACGTGACAGACCATAGCATCACTAAAGCTGAGTCCTGGTTCATATTAACGATGTAGTTCAGGTGCTTTCCATAATAGCAATAACGGAGAATCAGCATGTAGGAATACTACAAAGGGAAGATCTTCCACCGAGCCGGTGATATTGCTCGGTAGACCGACGGTCCGAATGTTGTTGTTCGGAACTTGTATATATGCAAGCTTATCTTGAAAATGTCGTAAGCGAGATTCAGGAATCTGTCAAATATCTTGTGTTCTGTGATAGCTACCGCCATAAGCATTTCACTGGTATTATGAGCTGAGCGGTGTCCCACAACGCCGTAATATAAAATTAGTGTAATTTTATTTTCAATCATATTATTGAATTTCTCTACGTTCCAAAATTATACTTAGGATTTCATCGCGGCTTAAAGATAAGAAGCGATACTTTACAGAACAGAATCATTTTGTAAGCCCAAGTCAAGCTCACAAGTTTGTTTGTACTCGTTCCAAGATAAAAATAACAAAAAAACCAAGTAACCAAACCTATAGCGTGCGTGATTCTTTTAATTCACTGAATTTCTTTGGTCTCGCCCTCGTCTTAATAAATTTATCCTCTCACAGCAAACGATGACTAATGATAGTTAAATTGTTTGATAGCAGTCTATTTCGTTCGTACGTGAATTGTAAATCTGAATCATGCCTACGTTTTTTATTGTATATAAAATTGAGTACACCTATGCTCTGAAATTCTACGGTTGGTCATATGTTACAACGGTATTGACAGGGCTAATGCCTGGAGAGCTGCGAGTTTGTATCGAACGAGAATTAATGTTTTTTTATTGCTTAGATGAGTGGACGAGCTCACAGCCCACCTGGTGTTAAGTGGTTACTGGAGCCCATAGATATCTACAACGTAAGTGCGCCACCCACCTTGAGATATAAGTTCTAAGGTCTCAGTATAGTTACAACGGCTGCCCCACCCTTCAAACCGAAACGCATTACTGCTCCACGGCAGAAATAGGCAGGGTGGTGGTACCTACCCTTGCGAACTCACAAGAGGTCCTACCACCAGTAAAACACCGTTAAAAAAAGTCAATATGTTTCTTCGTCTTTCTGTCTACACTTCTTTGTTCAGAGCTATTTTTGTTAAGAAGTTCGGTGTATTCGTAGCGAGCTATTCATCTATGATTAGGTGCGTGACATCTATGAGCGAACAACTTACATTTGGACGCAAGAGAGCTGCTACTTTAAGGAAATAAATGTAAAGTATAAATGTAGAACGTACGCAAAAAGCATTCAACGTTTATCTCAAATCTAGATGAATTTGTTTAATACAAACAATGCAGTTCCAATTTTTTTTTTTTTTGATAACGATTTTGGGACACGAGAAACTAAAAGTTTAGAATATTAAAAGATACGACACTCAAAAATAAAAAATAAAACCTATTACACAAAATGAATCTATATCTTGCGATGATTTTGATCGATTTTCAATCATACTCGTAATTATTGTTTGGATCTTATTAAATCTATAATTTTGTACTTTCGCTTCTAATTAATATATTATATTCGTAATAGGACTTGGTATTGCATGTCTTTCTGGTACAATACACAATACCATATGGCACCATCCGATTTATCTGATGATGAACCTAGTAAGTGTATAGGTAACAGAAGCCATGTTTGACCATTAATAAAACTCATCACAAAGCGTGTTTTTGAAACGATCATTAAAACTAATCTGTTTATACCAATCTTACGGATTGTTTTAAACTTTCAGGGCAGTAAAATATTATATAAATCCGATGAAAAATATAGTCCAGGCATTTATTTAGATAAAATTTATAATAATACTTGAGTATTCATTTTTATTTCCTAAACGAATAACAATAAATTTCAAATTTCAGATTACCGCCAAATTCGCAAGTGGAAACATTAAAATTTATCAACAATGGCATCAAGACGTACTGGCCAGATCCATTTAGCGACACGCCAACCCTCAAGCGACTATCGTTATCGCAAAACGACCTAGTAGAGGTCACGCCCGATCTATTCACGAACATCGACTACCTGGAAGAACTGGATTTGTCTTACAACAAATTACAGAATTTCAATCCTTTCGATTTTAAGCATCTCAAGCATTTAAAGCGATTGAATTTGCAAAGTAATCAGATAAAGAAAATACCGGTTGAAGCGCTGCAGCCGTTGGTGGCGCTTGAAGATTTAGATTTGAGCAAAAATGGAATTTACGATTTGATACTGCCGAAAGATACAAATGCGCTTTCTGGATTGAAGAGGCTTTCTTTGAGCGGAAATAGAATTCGATCAATAGTGAAGAGTTCTTTTCCTGTCGATAATAATATGTAAGTGGAAAGCTGTAGTAATCTAGTCTAGTATAACCGCATTTAGCTCTCCATTTCTAAATAATGAACTTTTAAGTTTATTTTGAAATGGTCTGATGTTATTTGGTTACTGAATCCAATAGAAATCAACAACTTAAATGTCGTCACCCACCTTGAGACGTGAGGTCTAAGTCTCAATTGTATAGTAAGTATACCGGCTGCCGCACCCTTCGAACCAGAACATATTACTGCTTCGCCGCAGAAATTGGTCTAGTAGTGATAACTACCCGTGCGAGCACACAAAACGCCCTTACCACCAGTGGGTTTAGTGCGAGTTTTTTAACTTCTCGATCGCGTAAAAGTTGACTCAAATTTGTATAGAGTTGGAACAGCGCCCCTAGCGGCAAACGTAGAGACACTGTTCCAACTCCTTACAAATTTGAGTCAGCGCCCCTAGCGGCAAACATAGAGGCACTGTTCCAACTCCATACAAATTTGAGTTAACTTTCATTAAGTTCAGCCATGTGCAAGTACCTACACCTTTCATTAATGCAATTATTAAGGGCTATTATCTGTTTTAATAATTGTTCGAAACTTAATAAAAGGTCTCATCGAACCCTTTGAGCCGTGATATGATATATCGCAATTGTGAAGAAGCAGTAACTAAACCATCACTAACCCGTGGACTTGAATTTACCAGGCGTACACTCAAGCCATTGACAAATGCCTTTTTCAAGCCTCTTTCGGGGAAAAGTTGTCATTTAAAATATCTAAAGCTCTTATTGGTAGTTGTCTCATTAGATCTTCCATTTCAGCAACTATAGAGACAGAAGCGAGCCGCTGGAATCCTGAAGTCCCTATCAAAACATAGACCAAGACATTCCCTATTTTCTGGCTAAACTAAGTGCTTCAATCAGTATGGTCTAATTGATCCAGTTGGTATTTCGTATACATTTTTAAAGCTCTAACTTCAATTATTTGTTTTGCAGAGAACTTCTGGACTTATCGAACAATATAATAGAAATAGTTGAAGAGGACTCTTTTCTATCGTTTTCCAACTTAAGAGAACTTAATCTTGGTCAGAACAACATTACCCTAGTGTTTTCATTGCCAGTAACACTGCAGATTGCCATACTAAAGATAAATACGTTGTACCATTGGCCGAAATTTCCTGTTGGTATCAAATATATTGATTTGTCGTACAATAGACTGTCGGAAGTGTATGATGAGAGCGTTGTTAATTTCGAAAGTTTAGAGGTATTTATTACTTTCCTACTGAATTATTTTTAAATAAAACATTTTTTTATATAAACTAGTACATAAAGGACCTGTTAATATATATCTTGCGAAAATAGTTAACATTATTATCAATTGAGATTGACTATGGAATTCTGGCAATTGTAATTCCGCGAAATGTTAATTCGAAAACTCAGTATGAAAGATTAAATTCAATTACAAATACCTATCTACTATTTTCCAGGTTCTAAACATCGGCGGTAATCAAATCAAAGAAATGAATATAGAAAAGAAGTTACCGAATTTATACACGTTAGACCTATCATACAATCTAATAGCGGAAATACCAAAGACGCTGAATGCGCAGTTTTTCCCTAATTTAGACGAATTACGTTTAGATGGCAACCCGATCGAGACGGTTTATTTTAAAAATATATTGGCTTTAAAACGTTTGTATATGAATGAGTTGAATAAATTGGTTGTGGTTGATGAGAAAGCTTTTAGTAATGTGGTGGGTCGAGGGATGGACGAAGGGGGAGAGGAACTGAACTGTTTCTCATTGTACTTGTCTAATTGTCCTGCTTTGACCGAGATAAAGGAGGGCGCATTTGACGGGACTTCTTTGTGCACGGTGAGTAATATACTAATTGTCTATAATAAACATAATGGGCTCATTAACGATAAACTATTTTACCAGTAGCATCGAAAAGCAGCAGCAATCGAAACAATATGCTCGGTTGGTATTGGTGGATATTAAAGTGCATCATGCAAAGTCGCCGCGGCAAAGTTGCTTCTTAATTAATTACAATTACAGCTATTTCGAGAAAATCGAAAAACTATTTAAATACGAACTCTAATTATGAACTGCAGTTGTGTATTATCATTTGTTTTATATCTCAGTATTGTGTTTCTTAGCTGGACATAAGCAAGAACAACTTGAGCCATTTATCCAAGAATCTCTTAGACTGGAGCATTGCGACGGAAGGCATTAATCTACAACACAATCCCTGGCACTGCTCCTGCGACATGCAATGGGTGGTGGATGATATCCTTCCGCAACTGTACTATACCAATAACTCCAGACTCATGGACGACTTGAGGTAATTATAAATTTTCAATAGAACATTATCTTGAGTTCAATTTTGGTTGTTGTACACTGATATTGTATTGGATGCCTCCTCTAACAACTTTCTCCTGGATTATCCTGCGCCACTCCTGCCTATCCTCGGCTTTGTGGATAGCAACGTGGACTGATGTATTGAGATTGGAGCGAATCTGGTCCAACCAATGCATTGGACCTCTGCCTCTGGGCCTTCTTCCACATATCTTCCCTGTTACCAGCAACTTCTCTAAATTGTCACTGCTCTTTCTGGCAATGTGTCCATAATAATGTAGCAATAATAACGTAGTCAATACAAATCATACAAATACGTTCGGGTGTCAAAATTTGTGCAAATTTCGTTAACGTCATTGTGGTTTTTTTTAGGATTTTTTGAGTTACGAAGCAGCTGCTCTGGAGTTGTTAGGTCTCCTTCGAAGGCGCTCGGGCAGCTGTTAGCAAATCCCATTGCTTCTGGCTGAGCCAATTCTCACCCACCTGTCCTGATCGGTTGCCAGGTGCGGTTCTCCCCGAGGATACGAAGGTCTCCGACTAGTGCACTGGTACAACTGGACAGCGCAAGCGATGTGCAGCGACGTGCTAGACTTGGAACGATCCGGAGCTCACGGCAATTTCATGGTACGTGCCCAATCAATAGCAATTACTGTGATTACGCCTTTATCTCGGTGATTGTGTGAGTTTTTTTACTTTTGTTTCATGATGCAGTACAGAGGAAATTTATTCTTAAAAAAGTATCGTTTGTTTATTGAATCACATATTCAATGTTGTTCAAACCTTAATCGATTAGAGCATAGGAACCGTAATCGAATTAATCGAGAAGCCAAGTTTCTCGGTATCATTTCATTTTGAATTTAACCTTGTCTCATTCACAGATGGAGCCCTCGTCGGAAAGTCCTAGAGTTAGCCCCCTGACTTTAATCTTAGCGGCATGCATTATTGTATCTCTCCTCGTTGCTATAGCTCTGACAGTATACCTCGTGAAGACAAGAAAGAAGTACAGAATACGACAAGCAGCGATGAAAAGGAAAAGACAAAGCGACCTAGATTTAAGACATTCGAATGGAGTGCAAAAAGAACAGTTCTCAGCGCTGAACAAAGTTTAGTAGTTGACGGAAGATGACAGGAAAACATTAAAGTTTGCATCTTTCAAGTTTACGTGCTGGTCACCCACTAGTCAAGTGACCAAGTCACCATAAATTTACCATTTAGCTTTGGAATGAATGCGTTAAAACTTTTTTAATTCGCTGATAAAATAATTTGTTGATGTAATTTTTGTAATTACGTAAAATATCCTATCATACTTTAATATTTTGTGCCTACGGATACATATCGGAAGTTTGTAGAAAATCATTGACCAGTGTGCTTAGTGCCAGTTTTTTAACGTTCTCGATAGCGTAAAAGTTAACTCTAGTTTGTATGCAGTTGGAACAGCGCCCCTAGCCACAAAAGCAAACGTCCAACTCCATACAAATTTGAGTTAACTTTTACACTATCGAGAACGTTAAAAAACTCGCACTAAGCCACCACGCTCCACAACCCACCAGAACAACGCTTGGACACGATCAGAATTTTTTGTTTCTTGTTGATTATCGACAATAATCATTAGGGATTATGGTTATTTGTTTAATTCGACTTATTTCTGCCACGGGGGTCTAGAGAGCTGCTGTCAAGAGTAGGATAATCGTATTACGACGTTACAGACACTTAAGCCTCATGTTTTTGGAAACATGTCACAAAGGCAATGAGAATCATTATATAAAGTATATCTCTGTTTCCTTACGTTAACTGCATCGGTTCACGTAAGGAAACGTGAAAGACCCATACCGATAATTGCAATCTGTTGTTTCCCTTGGGACGGTATGCTTACTAAATTAAATATTCACTATTTATTGTGGTAACGCAATCTACCTCTATGAACTTTAACATTACACTATATTTGGTAGCGTTATATTTCTTCCTTCATCCGCAGCGGGTATGGGTACAAGGCGTGGAAAATAACGTAGATATCACAGGGTTGTCATCTTAAAGTTTATAAATATACTTTTTTTTATTATATCTTGTTAAATATTGTAAATTATATTCGTATACTGCCTTGTACTGCTAATAAACATTAATATTAGACAACATGGGGTTCCATGTTTAAGACCAGTATTAAGTATGTAGTAAGATTGTAATTAATTAGGGACAATATGGTCGGACGTCAATGATATCAAAGCGATTGAAGCCTTATTTATAGATGTAGTTAGTATTCATTTACTACGACATTTCTGTGAGAACATATTAATATGAAATTTTCATTAATAGATTAAAAAAAAAAATTCTAAATGTAGAGCCCTGAAAAAAGAACATCTACATATAGATAAGTAGATACTGATCTATCTTGAGGTCTCATGCTTCTTTGAGATTTAGAATCCGTTGGAGCATTCATCATTATGTTACTTTCATAATAAAATAAATTGCTTAAAAACTAATTCTTTTCATTACGTTAAATGCCTCCGCAAGTTTCAAAGCAAACAAAAACACAACTTCCAAAAAGAATTTTTATTTGGTCGAATAAACAAAATAATAATTAAAAATAATTTCCTTACAACTAATTAACGATAAAAAATATATTTTTAAATTTGTTCTTTTTAGCTCCGTTGGGTGAAAGACGGGAAACCTGGTAATATGTGGTCACCGCCAAGTGTTACCGTAGCCGTAATGGGGATACCTCACGCACCACCCACATAAAGACATGTGGTTAAAATTGTATATATAAAAACAAACGAAAATTTTGAATAAATTTAGCTGTATACAATGTTGGTCTTACTAACATTATACAAGCTTAAAATCACAGCCCGATTTTGTAATATTTTAACAATTTAAACATCGCACGTCCAAATATTTAAAGGATAACGCGTGAACTTAGAAAAATTTAGAACGCCTTTTTAGTCATCATTTTCTAAGGATGAGCTTGAAATCAGTACCAAATTTCAAAATGAAATACATAATTATTTTTAAAGAGATATTAAGATAAGAAATTAAATTTGAAACATTTTTCGGTAATTTGATATAATAGATTTCACGGCAGTGACAAAATAAAGTGAAGGTAAAAAAAATTCACCGTACAAAGTGAGCAGATTTCGATCAAAGACGATACTAGTCATAAAACCAAATAGAGTATAATAGATATGTTGATTACAGACGTAAACGCACCCTTGGATTATTATAAATACCTACCTACTTAACTCAACTGTCACTGTCACAATGACAGTTCGCGACTTTCAATGTCAAAGCGCCATTCGTGTTAAGAAATGACACTGTCATAACGCCATTTCGAATTCGGTTACTTAGCCAATGGGTTTATAATTTTTCTCACAAATTCCGGTCCGTGATAACGACCTTTGAGCATCAAGTTCCAGTATAGGAAGGGGAATAGATCCTTCTTCATGTAATACGCTAACGCGCTTTCTCGGGCCTAGAACAATAACAATGACTTAGAATATGCGTTTTTTTTTTCATAAAATATAGCTTCTTACATTTTATAATACTGATTTTTGGATGTTTAGTGATTTGCATGCGAATGAATAATTTAAGTATATTTGTCGGCGCGTGTTTTTATAAACCATTAGTTCATGACTAATAAAGATGGGACGACAAACAACAGGTGCAAGCATTCATCGAAAACAACACGTGCAAGATAAGAATCATAAACAACATCGTCCCACCACGATACCTTGCTATAAAAACGCTCCGTTGTTGTCGAGCCCCGTGAGCTCACCTAACGAGCGAGCGAGTCGCCGTGTCGGACGGAACGCTCCTGCGTACGCTCTGAGTTCATTTCTGGTTTTATTGACTTACGAAGACCGCCCGCTTACCATATCGCTACTCGAAAGTGGAAATACTCCAACATATTTATATATTATTTTTCAATTGAGTTATTTAAAGAGACTGCTTGCAACTTATCGTTCTTTGATGGTACGATACCAGAATATATAGTTGGTAACTGAAGTAAGCTATAGATCCTTTAATCACGTATTGGATTTGTATATAGATGCGTGTAGATCTCGTTTGAATTTATGTGTTTATGGCTCTGCCGTCCGCAATGATAAGGTCTCAATCGTATTTATACAAAACAGGGTGGACAACCCGTGTTCAACCATCGACAATATTAGTTTTATTATTAATTTTTCTTAGCTTCCTACTGTCGGTAGCTTCGACTGGCTATTCTGTATTCACCGGATGTGTAGGCGAGCTCTGCGAAGTCTGGAGATTTTTCGAACATTAGCCCTAGCTAGTGCAGTCGCAGAATATACCATGAATCGAAATCGCGACCCACTGAGAAGATCTGGCGAGAAACTCAGTGGGTTGTGTCTATGGCTTAAGCGACACGTCGGACTTATTCGACGGGTACAACGAGAACAGTGACCGATGCTCGAGTATCTTTTTAGTCGGTGCTTTTACACCGAAATTACATTTTTTCTTATTCATCGTCCCAGCGTGCCAGTTTCAAATCACAAAGAGTAAGTTTCAAACAGTTCATGTAATAATTAATTTCTAGCTTATTAACGAATTTTATATAAAGGATCTTTCGGTACAGATGACGTAATAAAGACATGTGACGGAATGAAATAATATGTTTATGGAAAATATTCGTAAACAAATACTAAGTATTAAAAGAGTATATCGATACGTATACTAGTCTTCGGTTTCCTTAGTACAGGAAACCCTATTGTGTGTGTTATCTATAGCGGTTTTTTTTTTAATTCACTAACCTGATCGAAGGGCAAGGTTTCATGCGGTATCCCGTCGTAAATGAACTCGGCCAGTATACACTTCCCGTACGCTGTGAGGAGGGGGCACGCTCCGTACCCGTCGTATTTTAACTTCGGCTCGTCTTTTTGCATCGTACCAAGTAAATTGTGTTCGAGCACGTAGCATTGTTTGGCTGGAATGTAGATAGTACAAGAGTGTTTATTATTTTTTTATTACATATGAGTCGACTATTATCAAAGGCGGCAATCTGACTTTTGGACAATGATTGGTAAATCAGAAAAACGAATTATTGACTTTGTATTCCATTGGCAGTCACAAAACTCTTCGGAACGACATCTTAGATTAATAACAGGTTAACTATTAACCTTTATTTAATGCAGGTTTTGAACCGTATTCTTTGAAGGAGACGATTATATTCAAATAAATCTGTATTGACATATCAATAAATTTTTTTTGTCCAAATGCACAGATTGCCACCTTTGATAATAGACGACTCATATATGGTTGGAGGAGCTCACAGCCCACCCGGTGTTAAGTGGTTACTGGAGCCCATAGACATCTACAACGTAAATACTGCCACCCACCTTGAGATATGAGTTCTAAGGTATATATAGCTCAGTATAGTTACAACGACTGCCCCGCCCTTCATACTAAAACGCATTAATGCTTCATGGCAAAAATAGTCAGCCTGATAGTACCTACCCGTGCGGACTCACAAGAGGTCCTACCACCAGTAATTACACAAATTATAATTTTGCGGGTGTGACTTTTATTAAAAGATGTTATTCCTTCAGCGCGGAAGTCAATCGTGAACATTTGTTAAGTACGTATTTCATTAGAACAATTCGGGATTCGAACACCGTCGCATCACTCAACACGAATGCACCGGACGTCTTTATCCTTTAGGCCACGACTCCAAAGATTCTGCGAAGCACTGCTCTTGCTAGGGCCAATGTTAGCAACATCGTCAAGTTTGAACTCCGTGAGCTCATCTACTTGTTAGGATTAGAAATGGCCTCTCAAGACCATCAGGTTTGGTAGGGAAAAAAAAGGGGGGCTCCCTTCATTTTGTGGGTCTGTCGTCTCTGAAAACCGTGTGTCATGAAATCGTGTATTAAAAAATTACTAATCTTACTAATTAACTGAAATACAATTTATTCACGCATACATTTGTTTAAAACACGAATCTACATCTCAGTAATTGAACTACGGAATAGTTCGTTTACCCCCAATTTCCTGTCAATCTTTATAGGAGGTTATAGGATGCCACAAGCTGACTTCTCCTTACCAATGGCAGCGGCGGTCTTGCTGTTCGGAGTGTTGGTGCAGTCTCCGATGCCGTAAACGTTGGGATATTTGTCGTGCTGCAGTGTATATTTGTTGACGGTCAGGTAGCCATTAGGGTCCACAATGTCGCTACTCCGCTGCAGGAAATCCGGGGTCTTCATCGGCGGAGTCACGTGGAGCATGTTGTATTGCATTGTTGTTTCCTGTTCGTTTGAGATTTTTCTTAAAGCGTTCACGAAATAATAGGTTTTCTTGTTGTATTCTATGGTTTAGATGTGTTAGGGCGTTACGGAAGCACTCGATATTCGACTGCTAAAGCCGCTTTCAGACTACGCTATAATATAATAGCATATAGTATATAGCTCTTAATTACTGGTGGTAGGATGTCTTGTGAGTCTGCACGGGTAGGTACCACCACCCTGCCTATTTAGGCCGTGAAGCAGTAGTGTGTTTCGGTTTGAAGGGTGGGGCAGCCGTTATAACTATGGTGAGACCTTGGAACTCATATCTCAAGGTGGGTGGCGCATTTACGTTGTAGATGTCTATGGACTCCAGTAACCACTTAACATCGGGTGGGCTGTGAGCTCATCCACCTATCTAAACAATACGGGACGAGTCGTGTCGTTCTCAAACAACCAGAACGTACCTTAGTCTTGTCGTCAGTGTTGTAGAAAACCGCTTCTCTCCTGTCTGGTTTGACTTCTTTGAGCACCGTCTTGTAATTGACGTTGATCTTCTTCCGTTCCACCACCTTCAGGAGCGCGTCGGCGTACTTCTTCACTCCGAAGATAACGGGCAGGCACGTGTTGTACGTTATGTTCGATTTCGAACGAACATTCGTCTTAAAGAAACGGATTGTCTTGTACATACAAACTTAAACATGTCATTAAGATTGAGCGAGTGAGTGAGTGAGTGAGTGAGTGAGTGAGTGTGTGAGTGTGTGAGTGATTGAGTGAATGAGTGAGTGAATGAGTGAATGAGTGAGCGAGAAAGATGTTTTACAATATTTAAAAAACAATTATGTTTGTTTTGGTTAGCCAACTATCGTAATACATTTTCATAACAGACACCAAACATTCAAAGGCTAAAGTTTTTTGTTTATAACGCCATTGTTCTATGCGTGTGTGACGTCACTGACACAAGTTATGAACAATCGTTCTTGACAGTACACACAATAACGTATTATATAAACACACGTTCATTTCTTTCTTACGACCTTTCCAATTTTAAATTAAATTATAACAAATTCCTCTGTAATGGTTTAGAACGAGGTCACGAGATATCTGGTTGTAGCGGGGCCCATAGACAACAACAATGTAATAGCCGTCACCCACTTTGTAACATGAGTTCTGAGGACTCAGTTTTTACAGTACTCTACCCTTGAAGCCGGCGCATTACTGCTTCACGGCAGATAAAATCTTTACATCTATCAAGAACTATTACCCAACTAAACTATAACATATGTTATGTCCACAGGAATCGAACATTCTGTAGAAAATTCATTTAATTTAATCTTTATATATATAAAAATGATTTGCTGTTCGTTAGTCTCGCTAAAACTCGAGAACGGCTAGACCGATTTGGCTAATTTTGGTCTTGAATTATTTGTGTGTAGATAAATATGAAAATGCTCGGAATGAAATAAAAATAACAATTTTGTTTTTCCCTTCGATGTGTCCTCCGTCGGACGGATTCCTTTTGTTTATTTTAAGTTTATTTTATACAAATGTTTTGGTCTTTTATTTATCGATTAAGGCACTACAAAGTCTACCGGGTCTACAATAAAAACAAATTTAATCTTGGTCCAATCGTTGGGAAGCGCAGATACTCCTTAAGGAGCCTTGAGTTCGGAAAACTGCGGCACTTACCTTGGTAAAATAAGACTCGGCTAAATAGGCAATTTTCTGCGGCGCTCCTGGACACTTGATCAGCGTCTCCGGGTAAGTGAAGATGGCCTCGCCGCCTTTGAACGTCTGCAGGTCGGACCAGGTCTTCTCGCAGTACTCCGGCGCGTATATCGTAGACACGCCGCTGCTAGTGTCGTTTAGCGCCTCAGTCAAGCCTGGAATCTTTTGATTACGGATTTATTCGTATTGATGACGTCACACGAATAAGCCACATTGAAGATATTCAGAACCGGCTCTGTCTGTGGAATGATTAAGGCGAAGCTGATTCAGTGATGTGAAACGTAATCCTTAAGGTGCCACAGTAATAGCCCTTTGCCCATACGAGCAAAACTGTAACGTGAAAATGATGATTTTTAACAAATGTAACATTAAAAAAGACAGCTCACTGGGTTTCTTCAAACCGAAACGCATTACTGCTTCACGGCAGAAATAGGCAGGGTGATGGTTTCGTTTCGATATCTCAAATATTATAAGTATTATTTGAATTTCGATACGCGCCTACTTCCTATTATTTTCATAACCATTTATATGATTTGATTGATTGAAGGAATTTGATTGATATTTCTTCAGTGTCTCGTCAACTCTCGTCCATAGGACTGGCAAAGGGAACGTGTCCCATTCAACAGAAATTTTATTTGAAAGGCTGAAACAAATGTATTTTTTTTTATTGCTTTGATGCGTGGACGAGCTCACAGCCCACCTGGTGTTAAGTGGTTACTGGAGCCCATAGACATCTACAACGTAAATGAGCCACCCACCTTGAGATATAAGTTCTCAGTATAGTTACAACGGCTACCCCGCCCTTCAAACCGAAACGCATGACTGCTTCGCGGCAGAAAATAGGCAGGGCGGTGGTACCCACCCGCGCGGACTCACAAGAGGTCCTACCACCAGTAAAAGAGTAAACAGTACCAAATAAAAGTACTCACTTTATTATAATCGCTCTTCAGTCCAACAGCGATAACGATGTACTCATAATTGATGACGTGTCCATCTTTCGTCGTCACAACATTCGCTTTGGCGTTAATCGTTTCGGCGGAATCTCTCAGCCATTTCGCTGCTTTAGGTAACACGCTCTGGGCGGATCTCCTAGTGTCGCTCACACGTTTCACTCCGGCTCCTACCAGAGTGAAAAGGGGCTGATAGTAATGATCCTAAAAGAAATTCTAGTTTAGAAATAATTAGGGTGGGGAAACATAACTCGGTAACAGCGTCCATTATCTATATCTATACTCTATATCTATTCTATAGTAATTATAAAGAGGAAAGATTTTTTTGTTTGTTTGTATTGAATAGGCTCCGAAACTACTAAGCCGATTTGAAAAATTCTTTCACCCTTTGGAAGCTACACTATTCCCGAGTAACATAGGCTATAGGAGTGGGTAATATCGGTTTTGCCGCGTATCGAATCGTATCTATATATCGAGGATCAATATCGGATATTGAATCTATATATTTTCTGAATATTGATGGATGCTAGTAGATTTTCTCGATTCATGATATTTGAGATTTGAAACGATACGCTGATATAATATCGTAGTAGATATAGATTTAAGTCAACGTTATACGGTTGGTTTTCTGATATCAATTTATAATATGATCTTAAAGTAATAAAAAGAACATGAAAATAAAAATATCAAAAAAACTTTCCTTCATGCTTTTACCAGGCTTAGGACTGGCTACATTATTTTCAGTTTTTAGTATTTTGTGTCTTAATTTAAAATTACAAAATATACCAAAAGAGTGTAGATTTCAAAAGTTTAATACAAACACAAGAAATAAACTCAATTATTTGGATTCAACTAAAAATAGAAAAATGTGTACTTTAAAAATCAAACACAAAAAACTTTTAAGTATTTATAAACACTTGTCCAAAAATTCTAGTTCAAGGTCAAAGCGCGTGAAATTAAATTCAACGATGCAAATAGGCTATACTGCATTCAAGTTAGGGTCGAAAGTTGAAACTTCTTTCCTTAATTGTATCCTGCTGATACGCTAAGAATAATCTACAGACATATGGACTTAAATATAAGGTTTACAATTGTATGGATAATGCCTGTTTCTGTTTCATTCATCACATGATATCCCTATCGTGCGCTCACTCACTCTGGCCGATTCGATACGAACCAAACGAATATTGCTGATATTAACGAATCGGTACGATATGCCGATGCGCATCACATCGAGCAATATCGTGTATCGGCTGATATCGATATATAGATTTCGATTCACGAATCGGTACGATATGCCGATGCGCATCACATCGAGCAATATCGTGTATCGGCTGATATCGATATATAGATTTCGTGCGGGGCGATATCGGATTCAACGATATTGCTGCGATATATAGATATTGAATCTATATACGATTTATATCAGCCACTCCTAATAGGCTACAATAAACGGCCGTGTGGTGTAGTGGTAAGTGACATGGTCACTACACAAGGGGGTTGCGGGTTCGAATCCCGCCAAGGGAAGATATTTGTATGATAAATATAAATGTCTTTTCCAGGGTTATGGATGTATCTTAAATATATGTATGTGTATAATAAAAATCTTACATTTATTTCCGCTATCTGGTACCTGTAACACGAGTTCTTTACGAACTTACCAAGGGACCAGTTAACGTGGTGTGCTTGTTAGTAAATATTTATATTATATTTATAAAAAAAAAAAGGAATAATATTCTTATTACTTAAATTAGGAATCCTTACTAAAACTCCAATAATGTAACCAGGTGCGCTGCGAAAACTATTAATGATAGAATAAAATAATGTACTAGGACTTTGTAGAACACATTATTATTTACAAAAAGTGTCGCGACAGCATATGTTTAACTATTATAATTATGCCACGACAAGTGTTCTTTTATTTAAAACAATAAAACAACGTCAAATATCGTTTACAGGGAAGTTCTGACTCAATAAACTCAATGGCTTTTGTTTTGTATGTATGACCTTTTTACGAAAATTAGAAAAATTATAATATAAAAATAACAATAAGAGTTAAAAAATTTATCATTCAAATGAAAATAAAAGTTCATTATAAAATAATAATATTCAAACTATCATTATAATTTTTCTTTTACCCTGACACAAATAGGGGGGGTTGATGTGTGTATTATAATTTTAAATTTTGAATTTTTTGTTAAAGACCCGAGCGAAGCTGGAGCGGGCCGCTAGTACATAAATAAAAAGATGAATAAAGAACAGTTTTCTTCTTCTCTTAAAAGTTTATTATTTACGAACAGTAACAGAACTCGACATCAACGAGGGCACCGCTGACCTACATGGCAGTCAAAGGGTTAAGCTTGATGGGTGAATGAGCTCACCGTTCAACTGGTGTTAAGTGGTTACCGTAGCCCACAGACTTCAAAACGTGAATTCCGTCACATTATGTTATGTAATTTTTTTAAGTATAAATAAATGACAATATTACAGAACATTGGTTTAGAGGTCAATGAAGGATAAAATTCCTTTGTTTTTGACAATTTATTTCATTAAATTAAATGCAAGTGTAACTGCGGCACAGAGCTAGAATGAAATAAATACAATATAAAAACCAATAACAATGCACAAACAACCTTCAAGTGTACTCTATACCGATGACATAATTGTTGTATATAATATGTATATTAAACAAGTATAATACACTTCAAAACATATGATAAGAGGGACATTATCATTGTTAGTGATTCACTTATTATGTATTATCATTTACAATGCACATTTTGGATATGACACTGCAATTCAGAAGTATGAATTATTGAGTGGCTCTTGTTCTTGTACTGTGTGGACATAGTACTATTTTTATTGCACAACAATTATTGAAGTATGCAAGGCAGAGTAATTGCAATAAAAAAACAACTGAAATTTTTTTTAAAAGTAAATGTAGCGTTTACTGCCTTATGAATGGAATGTTCTGAGCTAATTATTTAAGGTGAAATGCAAACTCTTGTGCCCTAACCAATAACAATAGTACCCTTACTAATATTAAAAATATAAAAGTGTGTTTGTTTGGCCTCCTTTACCACATCGATACAAAGCAACAGCTTATAATATAGCAGTAATAGTTTTAGGTCAGGAGATTGACATAGAGTACCTTTTATCTTGAAAAATATGTCATTCAAATGGGAAATTGTTTCATTATCTTTAGAAAAATTATGTAAGACATATATGTAATTTATGTAACATGTATATAATTATGGAAAAATTAACTGATACTTTTCCATGATCACACAGACGATCCATGAGGAACTGGTTGTAACCAATAACTATTACTGAATTTAACTTATAATGAGAATCAGTAGCATTAAGTAATTAGTCAATAATTTTTCTTTATCACTTAAACTTTAAAGGGCAAACATAAAAACTCACATTACTAGGTTCCAAAATAATGACCGAGTCTTTATTCAGCCTACGGGCGAATTTAGCAGCAACTGTGCAACCACCCGATCCTCCACCAACAACTAGCAACTTACATCTAAAATAAAGTAAAACTTTAGTTTTGTTTGTTGCATTTAATATTACTAGTGCTCACCCAATTATTGAGACATGACTAGATATGACAAGCATTGAGACCTAAAAACTTCATATTTTATTTTGTCATACACCATTTAATAAAAACATAATGACTAAACTGAATTCTTATTCATTTATAACATTAAACATTAATAGTTCATCAGCAAAATAAAAAATAAAATCAATTGACATACAAGAGATGAAGAATCCTTAACTGACTTTGTACAAATTTGTTAAACAAGCTCATGTAACCTACAAACATTATTGGGAGAATGGCCAACTGCTGTTACCCAGGGCTTAGTGCGATAACACTGTTCTTGACAACAATAGAGGTGAAACTATTTTCTTAAAGCTTGTTCAAAGGATAGCTTTAAAAAAAATTAGGTATCAATTACAATTATGTGCGAAATAAAAACTATAGTTCTCGTTATAATTTATAAGAGAAGTCAAATTATTTAGGTCGCAAAAGTTTTAATAATGGCTTTTGATACCAAATCTGTTTGCTTATTTTCCTTTTTATTGTAAGAATTTCCCTATATTAAAATTGTTTCTTAGACTGTAGATTGTACTGTAGAGGATACTTTATTACTCACTGAAAATTATAAACTCCAGTAACAATCGTGAAAAAGTACTGTATTCGGTCTTATCGTAATCAAAATGATTTATGGTTTGCATTTTTAGGTAAATATCAGCTCACTGGAGACAAAACGTTCCTTTCATAGCTTTTTACTGTCTCACCGAAAGCTACATTTTGTTTATTTAATTGCATGAAAACATTATGAATGTTTGTTACTTACGAATAATTTGCATTACATATTGAAGAACTTGAGAAGTTTCTACATACGTTGGACGATGATACAAAACTCAACAATCGTGCTGTATTCATGTTTCTTTATTAATATCTTGGAGAAAGGTGCGTGTGTCAGGTTTCGAGAAAATTTCAATACAATTAGTGTAGAAGGGCTCGATCGGTTCAGTCTCTCGTTTCGATATCTCAAATATTATAAGTATTATTTGAATTTCGATACGCGCCTACTTCCTATTATTTTCATAACCATATGATTTGTAGTTGATTGATTGAAGGAATTTGATTGATATTTTTCAATTTCTCGTCAACTCTCGTCCATTGGACTAGCAAAGGGAACGTGTCCCATTCATCAGAAATGTTATTTGAAAGGCTGAAACAAATGTAGTACAAGGTATTGGAATGAAATGAACAGCCCCTTTGTAACATTTCAATGGACTTTTTGGAAGAGGCCCCAAAGTCACGTCTAGTTATTTTCTTTCAATTGCTAGCATTTGTTCATTTTCACAAATGCTAAACTGATAATAGGTTCCTTTATATTAAAGGGGGGGGGGGGGGGGAGAAACGGTGAAAAGTAGTGTTGGAGTAAATTTCTCGGAATAACGTAAGCATCGACGAGTCCATTATTGAAGAAATGAAAATTATTAAGCGTCTCTATTGCACGGTGCAGCCTAGCATTTTCAATTGTTTGGGCGTGTGTCATGAAGTGGGCATCTTTCTATCGATTCCCTGGTGGTACAAGGTGGTACAGGATAGAAGGTCACGGGTGCAAAGGATTGTCTTCTACACATAAGCACCAAACGTGCAGCCGGAAGGAGGAAGTTGTAACTAATTGTAAAACTCGTTATTGAAAGCATGGCCACGACCACTCTGCCATAAGTGTAACGACGAAGAAGAAGGGGATATCTATACTATAATATTATAAAGAGGAAAGATTTGTTTGTTTGTTTGTTTCGAATAGGCTCCGAAACTACTGGACCGATTTGAAAAATTATTTTTCCATTAGAAGCCGACATTGTCCCTGATGAACATAGGCTACTTTTTTAATTAATTTTTTTTTTTTGGTTTCATGTTTGTTTTAATGTTTCCGAAGCGAAGCGAGGGCGGGTCGCTATTATTTATAGTGCGGCATACACCTGATTCTTCTGGTTTACAGATGTCTTGTTTTAAAAAAAAAACCTTGACACCTCACTTCCCGCCAAATAGTCTACCCTTAAATTAAACAAATAAATATAGCGTACATACCTACCGCTATGTACGGTACCTACACATATAGAGAGTTAAAAATCAGAAATATACCACTAACTTAAAACCACTCCAAGTTATTCAATCCTGTTTATGCAGGATAGCCGTCGGAGCCCCGTGGTTCGTCAGGAACATCGACCTCCATGATGTCTTGGACCGAGAGTCCATCAGTATCTACAGTCGGCATTAATGCGCCACTTTGATAAAGTGGCGCGACACGAGAACCCTCTCATCGTGGCGGCCGGTAACTACATTCCCGATCCTGCGGACAGAATGGAAAGCAGTCGATGTCGCCCAAAACACGTCATTTCGGATCGTGCTTTTAGGTACCTCAAGCACCGGTCATCGTTCTCGTCGAACCGGTCGCTTGCGACAAAAGGCTCGACGAGAAAATTAACCCACAGACACAGCCCACTGAGTTTCTCGCCGGATCTTCTCATTGGCTTGCGTTTCCGATTCGGTGGTAGATTCTGCGAAGCACGGCTCTTGCTAGGATTCGTGCTAGCAACGTCGTCAGATTTGAGCCCCGTGAGCTTACCTATTAACTAAGGTTACGCTGAAATAGCCTCTCAAGGCTATCAGCTTAGGTAGGAAAAAAAAAATATAGCCTTTCGTTTCATACTTCAGTGCTTTCGTTATATGTACTTCTGTCAGAAATGTCATTTGTCAGAAATTAAGACAAAAAAATGGCGGAGGAAGACGAAATCGATATTTTAGGGGATTTTTCATTCAATTCATGCTTTGCACAAAATAACCAAGGAATGTGAGTATTTTTTAATAATAAATACACTAATAGCAGATACTTTAACACTAACATTTATCATTACCAAATTAGAGCAAAGTTTGTTTTCCCCACTTGATCACAACAATGACGTTAATTTGTTATTGTATGTCATTGTTATGTATCTATTATTAATAGAATGTTTCTGAATTTATAATCATAGTGGTCGCAACCACCCACCGAATTTCAATAAAACCGAAAGCAAAAAGTTTTCCATTTACAAACATCTTGTTAGATAGTATTGAGTTTTATTCCAGTCCTTCTTGCTCCAGCAGAGAGGACACGGTACATCCTCAATGGTTGTTAGACTCCACAGAAACGAATTGGTATGATAAAAATAAAGATAAAAAGTAAGTACCTCCTAATAACTGACTTTTTTCAATTAGATACATTATTAAAGATTATAACAAAAAATACAAATTCATATCCTCAAGTCCATCCATCCATTTTAAGTTATTCAAAGATAAATTTGAATTTGAGATCAATCAATAAGCATAAAATTAATATGTTTTAAAATATCTTATTTCAGCATCAAAGATGGACCATATCGAAAACTACTTGGAAATAGTTCGTCTAGAAAGTACAACAATAACACCCATACAGAATGGAGTAAAAATGAAAGACAGATACTTGTTATGGAAATGGTAATTTTATAATTTGTTTTTTCTAAAGTAATTATAGGAAAATTATACTTCTAAAGTTAGTGAGTAAAATACTCCTTGAGCCAAATTAGAATTTAAAATTGTAAAACATTGTTCTAAAAATGTAATATCTAAAATTAGAACACTGTATAAATTAGCATTAGCTAGCTGTTGTAATAATTCAATGAATTCAGAGAGAAACAATAAATTTAACCTCTATTTTCAGGCTAAGTTTGGTAGAAATATTAAAAAGATATCACAGACATTAAAAACAAAAACTGAAGCAGAAATACAAGCAATGATTGAGGCTGAATTTGGTGTAATGTTAGAGTCATCTTTGCCAGGGCTGGAAAAAAATGAAGAGCAGTATGACATGCCTACTGTTGCCCAAGAAGAAATAGTCACAGCAGAGTTAAACACGCGTAGTGCTAGTGCTGATAAAACAAAACAAAATAAAAATAAAAATTATCGAAAAAAATACCCTAAATCAAAGAACATAATACTAAAACCCAACCTCACAAATGAAATGAAACCTGGTATAGAATCATCGGAAATAATTTATGAAGATGATTTAATTGTTGGCTCAACTGAATCAATTGGTTCTGATCTGGAATTGACAGACATAGTTTCTAAGAATGTGGCTAAACACCAAGCGAAAGGTAAAGTGGAGAGAAAAATTGGAAATCACAGAAGGAAAGTGTCAAGGAATTATGATAAAAAGCCCAGAAACAAAAGTAAAGAGTTAAAATCTCCACAGGGCAGACAGAGGAAGAACTCTAGCTTGTCTGACGATAGTGTTAAAAGTCCTAAAATGCAGTTATTGTTGGGTTCTGGACAAGCTTTGCCGATTTCTGAAGGAGAACAAGTGGTAAATATCTTAAATTGCTCTTTTCAATAGCTTATTTTTAGATTTTTGTTGTAATATTCAAAATAACAACTGGCACACGAAAAATATACCCGTACTGAATAGCGACATCCTAACTAATCTCATAATGAGAAAAAAAAATACATGTGTGCAATTCACACGTGGTAGAAGTGAAACCTTCCAAAATTAAAATACAATTATCCTAAACATCTTAAGTATATGTAAAATTTTGTCATTAGTAAATAATTGTAAGGTAGCGCCCTCTGTGAATTCATATTTTAATTTCACGTATAATCCTAAATTAAAATTCACTACAAGAGCTTTCATACACACGTTAGTATTAAAAATCTCACAGATGGCGCTGAATTAAATAGTATGTATATTTCTGTCTCATTCTTTGCTGGCTTCATCCTACACATTTTTGTATTTGTGTCTCTTACCTGTCGTTTTTTCCGTTGCCGGATGGTTTGAAATCACAACGATTCTAAAGAAGTTTTCACTTCAAAAACACCAATTTATAATTTTATTTGCATTAAAATAAGCTGTAACCTATGTAAAATCTATGACCCAAATGTGTCACCCGTTGGCAAATCCCACACAAGGCACGCATTGTTAGAGATCAAAATTGGAGTTAATATTTCTAATAAATTAATATGCTCAGTAATTCAATTACATTTAAAAAAGCATATTCAAATGATCCTCAGATAAAAATAGAGAAGAAGAAAGACTCTGAGCCAGAAAGTGATATAGACATTGATGTAGATAGCGACAGTGAAGCAAAACAGAAAAAACCAAAGACCATAACTAAAGACGATGATGCGCCGATAGCTGTACCTCTAGAGAACTTTGAACCTATGCCCAGAAGACAGAAGAAAATAAATTTGGTAAATGTTTTATGTTGTCATTACATTTTTCACTTCAAATAAAGGAAAAGTTCTTGTTTTTTATTGGTTAAGTGGGTGGACGAGCTCACGGCCCACCTGATGTTAAGTGGACAACGTAAATGCTGCCACCTACTTTGAGATAATAGTAATAAGGTCTCAGTTTTACAGTACAAGTTATAATGCGATTAATTTAATTTCTTAATTTTGCAATTTGAATATTTCTGAAGTTGTATCAACTTTCCAGATTAATAACATGCCAATATTATAAGTACTAGTATAGAATCAAATGTCTTGAATCGAACAGACAATACATTTACAAGATCAGAAAATTAACAAAACATGTATTGCCTTTTTACAAAATAATAATAATGTTTTTATAATTAATAGCCGTACTCGCCCGCTTCGCTGGACATTTAAAATTAACATTATTATTTATTGTCATTATCACAGGGAGTCCAACACTTATATAAATATTAGCCTATCCATTAAGTACATGTATTTTCTATACGGATACCAAGTTTCAAGTCAATCGGATGAATGGTTCAGTAGTTATAACGGAACATCTGATAGATTTATATAACTAGTAAGGTCATAAGTATTGTCACACAGTAAAAACTTTTCTTTTAGAATGCTGGCCACAAAAAAGTTTATTGAATTCGAATTTCGAATTGTTCATGAAAATAAAAATGTATACTTTTAGAATTTTACTCATTTTTAAATATGGAGTGGACGCTTAAAGAAGACCGTGTTGCAGTTATTGCGTTGCATCGGTGCGGTTAGGCGCCAATTAAAATTTTTAACATACTGAAAAATTTGAATATAACCAAAAGATTCGTTTATCGTACCATCAAACGATACAATGAAGACTCTAGTGTAGATGACAGGTCAAGAAGTGGTCGCCCTCGGTCTGTTAGGACTCCAGCAGTGATAAAAGCTGTGAAGGCGCGAATTCAAAGAAATCCCAAACGTAAGCAGAAACTGTTGGCCCTTCAGATGGGGTTAAGCAGAACCACGGTGAAAAGGGTGTTAAATGAAGACTTAGGGCTTCGGGCATATCGAAGAAAAACAGGACATCGTTTGAATGCTCGTCTAATGGACCTGAGACTGAAGAGATGCCGCGCTTTGTTGAAGCGGTACGCGGGAAAAAAATATCGGGAAATT